GAACGGAATTTTGTATTACCAAATATGAATTTTATTTAATACCTACATTCGGTCCAAGGTCATCAAATAATGTTACAATGTTTATTTCTCTCTCTGTCACATATTGTGATTTTGGTAGAGGTGCTGAAAGTGCGAACGCCATGCGTTAACCTTTCCAATACAAGTCCCGGGATACAAGTACCACTACGGCCAAGCAGATTACCGTTTCCCTTTTGGCTTCATGTTAAAAAATCCCACCATTCGTCTTTCGTTGATTTTTATCTCTCTTTGTTATGCAATCATGTTGGGAAAACTCATAAATAAATGCGAAATGGGATTTTGTATCACCTAATCTGAAATGGAATATGGAAAGCATGGTTCTTATTTTTCCATTTGATTTAAGTGGCCTCTGCGTAAAATACAACTTGTTCGCATAATTTGCTCCCAACCCTCTTCCCAGTCGGGTTTGAGAGAATGAGACTGGGGCCTGGGAAAGAGTGGCTCACCAAATAATTTATAATGATTTCATTGCGACTTAGAGGTAAAATTTTCTCTATCTTAGGATAACGATATGAGGATATCTGTCAACAAATTCGCCGAAATGCAATTTTGGACACTATGGGTTCTGACCATTTGAACGCGTCCAAGATTTCTAGCTGATTGTATCGCGTTCGAAATTGGCACCATGTTTTGTGATTCGACCTTGTTGTAAGCTGGCACATGTTCGTCAATTTGTATTTATTAATTCAATAACTCGATATCCGTTCCATCCTTCTTCACCCCTTACCACTCTTTATTTCTACCATGTTCTTCATATATGAAGATGTTCATTTAAGATCACTTGTCCTATCTGAGAACAAAAAGAGCATACTGCATTTTATTGAAGGGGAATATCCGTTGTGATATATGATTTGTTTTATTGAACATCTTTTTCAATTATTCTGTCACTGGCTGAATCAGATTTATCGCGTGGTTTGATTCGTTCAGATACATCGAGAACAGAATGCTTTCTTGCAAAATGCAAGAGAGTGGTGAAATTCGGATTGGCTGGGTCGTCTGAAACCTCTTCTCATGGACTCACTCTTCGAAGCCAGGCACAAGACAGACATTACAGTCACATTCCATGCAATTCAATAGTCTTGCCTCAAGACTGTAGACCCCCTCCCCTTATCTACTTCACCAAGACAACACAAGGGCTTGTAGCTATAGCAATAGCAATGAAATTGAAATTGAAGTTTAACATTGGTTTGCTTTTAACTCAATTTTGCCCCAGATGTGATTTCATCCTTCCAATTAGAAATATGCTGATTCTTAGTTCGAGGGGAAGACAATATGAACAGAAATACAAATAGAGGTTGGATGCATTGGTTTAGACGATGACACGGTTAAATAGCCACATACACTTAAATTTTATCCCATTGTATCATGTATAGAAGTTTTTCAGCTCGATTCCACCTCGTTGTTATTTTCTTAGCCTTTTTAATCTCCTAACCTGGAGAAGATTTGGCCCTCTCTTCGTTCCCATTCACGTGATGAATTCAGATAGGTCAAGATCAAAGGTCAAGGTCAAAGTTGAATATTTAGTGTTAAAGTTTGTTATTGTTTGAATCTTCATTTTTATATCTTAAAATCAACAAACCAGAACAAGTTTCAACACATGGCCGTTGCTAAAAGGTTAAATGGAGTAAATACCATTTGATAATTACGCATACTGAGATACTGCGTATATCTTTGAATACACATGATAGCAAAATTCGATCAGATGTTTGTATTGAATGAACATGGCTTTATTGCTAATGAATGAATCTAATGAATGATAAATGTCGGTTTCATTACCTTAATGAAATATGTTACAAATCATCGTAATGTACAAACTATGTACTCCGAAACATGATCAATTACACTGATTTTTATATATCACGACCTGAATTATTCTTTCTGATATAATTCTAGGTATTAGAGAGAATCCACAAATAACCGTTTCTCATAAGTCTGAATTGTCCGTTGACATGAAGGCTGATGATTTTGACTGAGGTTGCGTAATGATCGGGAATGAAATGTATCCACTCTCAACCACCAATGATCACTTGCATTCCTCTTGCCACATTGACTGTGATCATATTGTCTTGGGTCATATTGTCGGTGACCATAGACACCATAAGAGACCACGTGCATTGTGCATTGTCTAGAATTCTTTCGGCCACATTGATTTGCGTCCATATATTGTTGTGGGTCATGTTTACCGATGCCGTATTAAATGGGACCATGCAGACTGGAACCATTGAACGGCATCATTTTGATTGGTACCATATTTTACGGCATCGTTTTGATTGGTACCATATTTTACGGCATCATTTTGATTGGTACCATATTTTACGGCATCATTTTGATTGGTACCATATTTTACGGCATCATTTTGTTTGGTACCATATTTTACGGTATCATTTTGATTGGTCAATTTTACGGCATCATTTTGATTGGTACCATATTTTACGGCATAATTTTGTTTGGTACCATATTTTACGGCATCATTTTGATTGGTACCATATTTTACGGCATTATTTTGATTGGTACCATAATTTACGGCATCATTTTGATTGGTACCATAATTTACGGCGTCATTTTGATTGGTACCATATTTTACGGCATAATTTTGATTGGTACCATATCTTACTACATCATTTTGATTGGTACCATATTTTACGGCATCGTTTTGATTGGTACCATATTTTACGGCATCATTTTGATTGGTACCATATTTTACGGCATCATTTTGATTGGTACCATATTTTACGGCATCATTTTGTTTGGTACCATATTTTACGGTATCATTTTGATTGGTCATATTTTACGGCATCATTTTGATTGGTACCATATTTTACGGCATCATTTTGTTTGGTACCATATTTTACGGCATCATTTTGATTGGTACCATATTTTACGGCATTATTTTGATTGGTACCATAATTTACGGCATCATTTTGATTGGTACCATAATTTACGGCGTCATTTTGATTGGTACCATATTTTACGGCATAATTTTGATTGGTACCATATTTTACAGTATCATTTTGATTGGTACCATATTTTACGGCATCATTTTGATTGGTACCATATTTTACGGCAACATTTTGATTGGTACCATATTTTACGGCATCATTTTGATTGGTACCATATTTTACGGCATCATTTTGATTGGTACCATATCTTACTACATCATTTTGATTGGTACCATATTTTACGGCATCATTTTGTTTGGTACCATATTTTACGGTATCATTTTGATTGGTCAATTTTACGGCATCATTTTGATTGGTACCATATTTTACGGCATCATTTTGTTTGGTACCATATTTTACGGCATCATTTTGATTGGTACCATATTTTACGGCATTATTTTGATTGGTACCATAATTTACGGCATCATTTTGATTGGTACCATAATTTACGGCGTCATTTTGATTGGTACCATATTTTACGGCATAATTTTGATTGGTACCATATCTTACTACATCATTTTGATTGGTACCATATTTTACGGCATCGTTTTGATTGGTACCATATTTTACGGCATCATTTTGATTGGTACCATATTTTACGGCATCATTTTGATTGGTACCATATTTTACGGCATCATTTTGTTTGGTACCATATTTTACGGTATCATTTTGATTGGTCATATTTTACGGCATCATTTTGATTGGTACCATATTTTACGGCATCATTTTGTTTGGTACCATATTTTACGGCATCATTTTGATTGGTACCATATTTTACGGCATTATTTTGATTGGTACCATAATTTACGGCATCATTTTGATTGGTACCATAATTTACGGCGTCATTTTGATTGGTACCATATTTTACGGCATAATTTTGATTGGTACCATATTTTACAGTATCATTTTGATTGGTACCATATTTTACGGCATCATTTTGATTGGTACCATATTTTACGGCAACATTTTGATTGGTACCATATTTTACGGCATCATTTTGATTGGTACCATATTTTACGGCATCATTTTGATTGGTACCATATCTTACTACATCATTTTGATTGGTACCATATTTTACGGCAGCATTTTGATTTGTACCATATTTTACGGCAACATTTTGATTGGTACCATATTTTACGGCATCATTTTGATTGGTACCATATTTTACGGCATCATTTTGATTTGTACCATATTTTACGGCAACATTTTGATTGGTACCATATTTTACGGCATCATTTTGATTGGTACCATATTTTACGGCATCATTTTGATTGGTACCATATTTTACGGCAACATTTTGATTGATACCATATTTTACGGCATCATTTTGATTGATACAATATTTTACGGCATCATTTTGATTGATACCATATTTTACGGCATCATTTTGATTGGTACCATATTTTACGGCATCATTTTGTTTGGTACCATATTTTACGGCATCATTTTGATTGGTACCATATTGAACGGTACCATGTTGGCTGGTACCATATTGACATTTGAACCATGACACACGTATACAATATAATTGGTTATCTAGCTGTTAGAATAAAAATCAATTTCGATAATCTGATGGAGCCCTCATGCCATGTTATTTAGAAAAATTGTGTATGTGGCTAACGTGTTTGTATCAAGCCAATATTGTATGATTCCATTGTGGTTCATTAGGCCCATGTCTATTTTTATTTCATTATATTATCATATACTTATTAAGATTATGGCAACTCGAACATGGTTAATAGTTGAACTGGATCCATTACATTCTTAACTCTTCATTTTAACAGTACAGCAACTCCGTAATCACTTTTGATTCCAAATTCGAACTCTCTCTCGTGAATATGTATTAATGGTGTAAACTCGCGATCGTGTAATGAGCGCTGAACCCCTGAATGAGAGTTACTAGTATACAATTTACCCAAAAAATTATAACAAGTTATTGGTCGTAATCTAATCCTCTACCGGGAATCTCTCAAGACTATTTGCATCAAATTGCAAAATTAAGGAATTAAAATAATCACTTACCTATTCGTATTAATTGAGGGAGCCCAAGTGATGTATCCAAACTTATCCCAATCCAAAGTATGAAATATATGATCTGATATAAATCCATATTTAACGTTGGAATAATCCATTAAATGTTCTATAATGCATTTATTTTAATACTACATCTTGGACGATTTTGTTGGCGTTTGTGTAAATGTTTCACGTCATTCCCCGTGTGTGAAGTACGGAATTATACACGAGGATTTAACCGGAGCTGAGAGTGTCATAGGCAACCACCGATCTGCTTCGCAATCTATATACAGAGCGGTAGCTTATTAGATGTTCTCTCTCGGGGATTGTTCCTGAATTCCTGCATCCATCACGGCTACGCACTCAAACCTATATCGTGTTTCATCGCTTGTTTTATTACGTTTGCTACAAAAAGAAAAAACTTCATTGTTTGCATAGGAAAAAATCACTCGTTCAATGCTAAAATAATTCTCGGATAACTAGCGATATAACTGGTATAAGTAAACTGCACCGTAAACTGATATATCCGATATCTCCCGCGGAATGAGCGCCTGTCCGGCCTGTCAATTTACGCAACACAGCAGTCCCGAGACGCTGAATCGCTGATCTTAGGGAGATACATATATAGAATGAATTAGACAGTAGTTGAATGTCCTGTTCACTTGAGCATAATATGATTATCAGATACGAATGAATGATTTCTTCCTATTTTGAAAAATCATCTGGAATAATTGAGGATTAATAATGAAAACGTTTTTTTGTATTGTTTCCGTTCCGTTTGGCTTCAGCACTTTACATCTTATAAGCAATATTCTCTATTTTATTGACGGTTACTATATAAGAGCATACGTTGTCTTTAATCTGCTTTCAGCATCTACCATTGATAGAATAAATGAATTAACAATTTCTATCTTATTCAGAATCCTATTTTTCAAGGCATTACTTCATGCATCTAAACGCGCAATAATAGTAATACTTTGCGCAAATGTTGTTAGTTTGCGCAGATGTTGTTAGTTTGCGCAAATGCAGAAAAATCAATCGAAGTGTGTTCCGGTGATGTTATCCCTTATTTCCAGTGCGTAAAATTAAATGCCAATTTCATGTTTATTACTCGCATTTTTCTGAGTTCATACCATTGGCACAGTCTAAGACTGTTTAGGCTGTACCATCATCCCCTTGGTCAAAGATCATGGAAAACTATATGTTTTACTCGGGTTGGTCTTTTTTCTTTCAAACGTTTCTCTCTAATATCGATACTCCAATGTTTTTCGAGTTGGTGTATGAAAGAGATGTTATGACTTGCAGACATTAGAATTCACAACATTTACCGTAAAAGATCGTTTGTAGCTCAACCTACTGGACTGCAAGGTCTTTTAAAGAATGATTTAAAATATGAAACATCAAAATACCTATTTTAAAAACAAATTGGATAAATATGAGACAAATCTGATTGGGTGTTCGCTTTTGATATGAGCAGAGCTCAAAAGTTACTTATCGGATTTTGATTTGCAGATAATTCTTTTATTATTAACGTACTTCAGTAGGAATTGCATAATTTCATTCTTTCACGTCCAATCATTGCAAAAGCTAAAAGCTAAAAGTATGTTGATAGGTCCGTCCGAGGAGGGGAGGGGCGTTGGGGCCGAACAATTTGTGTATTTAATGGTGCGAATATGGCTCTCAGATATGCTCAGAAAGCACCAAGGAGGCTCTTTTCAAAAATGCATGCGGTCTGCCCTTCAGACCCCCTAGCTTGCTACGCTTTAGGCACAATCCATCCATGCACAAACGTCACCCCCTTGGGAAATCCTTCGGACGGGCCTTGCGAGAGTAAATTGACATCAATGCTACATCCTCTACAGATTATCAATGGGATAAGCGGGAAACTAATATATGTCATTTTCCATTCTTCAGGTGCATTCACTGCCCTGCACTCCTTTCATATCCATGTATCCATGGCTGGTGAATGCAACGATTAACAATATGCGTATCAATCGGAGGTGTGGTATCCCTCCGCCAAGCATATTCCTAGTATAGTATTAATGAATTTTACAATATTTCACACAAATCGTTATGTAATTCCCAGAAATTATAGCGTATCTATAACTTTAGATTTTAGTAATTTATCTTTTATGGCAGAGGTAAGGGTCGAAGACGAACTACATCTTGTAATTACGCATAAAATTGAACCCTTCATATGGTGACACAAGAAAGGCATGAAGTAAACGACTTATAGGGAAAAACTGACGTTTGCTATTTAAAGTATAACATGTAGATCAAGGCTTGAATTTTGAATTTTTACTCGAAGTGTTGACATTTTACACAGCAAATAAAAGATAGATTCGACATTATTGAATAAATAATGAATCAAGTATTCTACTAAAAAGAGAAAACATGTCTTATCAAAGTCCTAATTCTACCAAGATTTCTGCGTTACAAGTGGACATAAAACACTTGGTTAAAACTCCCACTACCCTCGAAAATAAAACGTCTATATTACGCATTTCATATTACCTTTAAAAATATATACCCAATTACAATACAATAAATACAATAAAATATAGCTGAAGTATTTTTATATTTTCACCAAACTCAGACACTATATCCGCTGTTTCCTAATTATAAAACAAAGATTTATCATTTAGCGTGACTGATCATACATTTTTGTAGGAGTCACTCAGAGAGTTGATAAAATACAATTGATCTTTTACTTTTGCATTCTAACATCTACTTTGTCGAATTGGTTTCGTGCTTTTACAGTTTTAATGATAAGATATTGGATGAGGAAAGTGTTAGCGATACTTTGATTATATTCGGTGCGTTCGGATAACATTGTGAATTTACTGATTACCATGTTTCGGACACAATTAAATGCCTGAAATACCAAGTAATAAAACAATAAGTAATAAAGCAACGCATTCGACAAGATATCATTTAGATCTTCTCCAGCTACTTTTGTGCCAAACCGATTATTAACTTCTTTTCTATAGTAAGGAAAATAGTGTAACTCACAACTCTCCTCTTATCTCCCCCAGGAGATACCCAACTGCGCGGATAACATTTCAACAAATCAATGTCTATTACACGCTCTAGATCATCATGAGAAAGCATGGCCTTCAATTAGTTACATTCCTATTTCTAGAAAAACAGAAAGATTCGAAGAGTATCAAAATGCCTCTCGAGGTCCTGACTACTACTATTCTTATTAAGCGTAGTTATTTCATATTCTTGGTTTTCTAATCGCGTTCAATAGCCAGTGCTAAGTGATATTTGGCCTTATACGTGTGATCTCTCGTAGTAGTTTATTGTCTAAAAGCTTAGCACCGTTGGAACCTTTTACCGTATGTATATTTAAATTAATTACCACTTTTAAAATGATCAATTTCTGTTTTTCATTATCCTGAATTCCATCTAAAGTAACTGAGTTTTAAAAATGTAAACCTAATTAACCCCCTCTGCACTAGTTACAACAGCAGTTTATTCTCAACTGCAGGATAAAAAGTGAACATATACTTTCGGAAGATCGTACATATACCGTAAAGTGCCACGCAAAACTAAATGCATATCATTTTAATTTAGAAGTATTATTTCTTGGCTGTTATTTACATTTTTATGCAATAAAAATTGTAACTACTAACGTAATTGAATATATTAACAATTTGTAATTGTATTCTTTCTGTCGTGCAAATAAGTAGATCGGGTGGAAATTGCATTTTTTGTACTTTGAAATAGTATGACCCGATGAATGTCAATCAGTCCGTTAACCGCTTGACACTTTTAGAAGCCTGGCCATTCACATACAGACAAGCTTTTGCAAGTGTGAGTACGATCGGTCAGCAACAGAATACACAGTTAACTATTTTTTAACTGATATCAAATGTTATTATATCGTGACAAGAACGCGTGTACCGGTCCAATTATCTATGATTAGCTGTGTATAATGAAGTTCTAGTCTTCTTGCTAGATCTGGTCTAACAATTTATGACTTATTGCTCTCTTAATTCGTCCTCAACAGATAAAACCTGTTGGATCGACTCTATAGGGATTTCATGGCATCCAATTTGCCTCAAATATTCTGATAACATACTTCTTGTTTTTATGCGCATCAATACCCGAGGTGTTATTTTGCCAACATAATTATTTTCGACGTGTATTCTGATTGGTTTAACCAAGTCACGTGGTTCTATTAAGGTCTCGCGGGAACATATAGTTACTTGTTCATCAATTTATTTATCCTCGATAAGTCATTCTAAATCCCTATTATACATGATTGGTTTATAACAACTTCATACCCAAGAAACCTAATATCAGAACATCTAGATTCTAAATCTTTTCTTCGATATCGAGAGGCAGGTTACTCTCTTTTAAAGTAAATGACCCAACAGGCGACACGATGTAAACTAAATGCAAAAATATGCAAGCTGAATCGAAGCATGTAGATTTTTAAATGAACAATTATTCGCCATCTGTTGCAATTTTTTTTAAAAATTTTGCTTCATTCAATCAAATTCAAGTCAATTATATTAAAGAATATTTAAAAATCCTGGTGATACATAAGATTGTGTGGAATAGAGGGTATATTGAAGCAAAACGTGGGCCATTGCTATCCAAATAGGCTTTTCATTGACCTGCAACTCTTACATATTCATTGATATTTTATACATTATATTGGAGGAGTATACATGGGGACAATTATTTCCTTACAACTGGTTTGAACTTATTGTAAATATACGTTACATCGCAACTATCGACTTCCAAAAGGCATTCGACTCATTGGAGTGGAAATTCATCTATAAAACCTTGAAGTATTTTAATTTTGGCACAGACTTAATAGCCTGGGTTGAAACTTTCTACAATGGAATAAACAGCACTATAATAAACAATGGCTTCACATCCAGGTACTTCAACCTTGAAAGAGGTGTACGACAAGGCTGCCCATTGAGTCCTGACATATTCATCCTATGTGCAGAAGTTCTTAGCAATGCTACACGGAAGACAGACAAAATAAAAGGTATCAATCTAACAGAAAACGAAGAACTCAGAATCTCGCAATATGCAGATGATACCTGCTTGTTCCTTAAAGACGCCTCATATTTAGAAAATGCACTAGATCTTTTTAATAAATTTGATATGATATCAGGACTTAAAATCAATAAAGAAAAGACAACAGTAGTAACCATTGGAAAAGACAACCAGATAAACAAACAAAAGACACAGAGAATATGCACAAATATTGGAGTGAATCTAGAAGAAAAGGAGATTAACCTCCTAGCAGGCTTAACAATACCGATAGATGGAAGAAACATAGAAGAAATCAACTATAGCAAACCAATCAGGACTATACTAAGATTAGCACAAATATGGAAGCAAAGAAATCTATCCCTGATGGGTAAAATCGTGGTTATAAAGTCACTACTTTTATCACAGTTAACATATCCAATGTCAGTGTTAAAAGCACCAACAGCTGAAATGACCAAAGAACTAGAAAGAATACTATTTGATTTTATATGGGACGGAAAACCGGACAAAATAGCAAGAAAAACATTAAGAGGGGGAATACCTTATGGAGGTCTTGAAATGACGCATATTCCATCACTTGCTAATAAATTAAAACTCAAATGGATTAAAAAATTAACGGACGACAACATAAAAAGTAAGTGGAAAATACTCTGGCAACAGCAGTTTGAAGATATCAGAGAACATGCATGGGAATACAACCTCAGAGAAATCAATCCGATGATTGCCAGCAACATCAAACTTACAGCAGCAAGGGACGTATACAATGCATGGTGTGCAATACATTATAAGGAGTACAAGGACATCCATACACCCGAAAACCAGATAATTTGGAACAATAGACATGTACAAAATAGAAGAGAGACCTTATATATAGAGGGGTGGAAATCCAAAGGGATAATATATATCAAACAGTTGTATGAGGACAATCAATTAATCCCGTACCAAGCACTGAAAAGGAAATTTGATTTAATAAACACAACATTCATTCAATGGTACCACATCATACACAGCATACCAGCTGAATGGAGAAACCAAATAAAAACACCGAGAAGGACCGAGACAGAAACTGATGTGAAAGAAAAATCCATTTCTATAAAGGAACTACAAACAATGACGAATAAGGATACATATAACATACTAATAAAAAGCCACACTGAAGAACCAATAAAACAACAACAACTATGGGAAAAGGCGATAGACAACACAAATATAAACTGGAAAAGCAACTACTGTAGAATATACATAACAACAAAGGAAACAAAACTGAGATATTTCCAATATAGAATATTACTTCGGACAATATTTTTCAACAAAATGCTACACAATATGAAAATCAAAACAAGCCCACAATGTGCATTGTGTAAAGAAGACAAACAGGATACCATCGAACATGGACTATACGAATGTATAGCTGTCAAACCATTCATAGAGATGGTCACCAAACTGTGTCAAATACAAAACCTGACAAGAGCAAAATACTTCCTAGGAGAGAACACCAGTTTGGGAGAAAACCTGACGCTACTCTTGGTTAAACACTACATCTATCTCAACAAATTAGACAATAAACCACCAAATATGACAGGCCTCAAGAAATATGTTGAAGCCCAGGAAATCCTAAGCAGAAGCAATGCAGAGAAGAATAACAAGTTAGAAGCCCATGACAAAGCATGGAAAACTGCTCAAAAGATATTCAAGCAGTAAATAAAAACATTGTAGATCCCTTTACAACATATAGTAAACAGCATCAAAATAGGATAGGAAAGCACACCCCTTGCATTGGTTTTACAGACACTTTATTCTTACTCATTCTTTTATCAATCAACAATCAACAACAATTGCAATTTTATTCAACATTCATTTAGTCAACATACATTTACAACATAACTATAAGTGTATTTTTTTGTCTACGTAAATTTTATTTATATTATTAATTGCATTACATTTACATGTACATATTTATATTTACATTTACATGTACATAAATAAGAATGAAGGAAAAAAAAAAAACAAAAAAAAAACGTTACATCGCGCATATTGTAGATTTCATCTCTCTGTATTGGAGACAGGACACACTGTGATATATATCGCACTTTTTATCAAAAAATTCAAAATGGAGGCTTTACCTTACTCAAGCATGCCAAAAACCAAATTATATCTTGGCACTAGCGTCTCCTCTTGCATATGTAACATCTTTTGTATCGAACAGGTAAGCGGGTTTCCTGGAATTTTGACAAGAATTACGTGGCGCCCGCCCGCCCGCACGCCCACCCAACAGCACAAGAAGACGACCATGTTCTTTGAAAAGTGCGATAAAAATTAAGAAAGGGCATTGTGTATGGACTAGAATAAAGAACATTCTAGGTTTGGAGAACAGAGGTACATTCAGGTATTGAAACAAGTGGATCAAACAAACAGTTTCTCAAATCATCACCTGCTATGCGGATTGATTAACTTTTCTCTGTTATCTACCGATGAAGAAAAACATCCCTTGATCATGCTTATTTTACCATTCTTCCAGATTGCGTATTTTGGCATATTAATTAATACATTATTTCAAGTGTATACATGTTTTTCTGCTATTGCGTACTTCCTTTCCAAATATTTTAATTGAATTTGCGTTATATTATGATTAGACCTGTTAGCGTTTTTACTAGTTTTTTATTTGCGGATATCTACCTGGGAATCTTCACCTCAAATCATCACCTGATACATTTTCACGTCGGGCGAGAGGAGTCTAAATTGAAGAGAGAAGACTCAATCAATCTGGCTCCAATTAAGTCGGAGTTTATTTTGTCGGTTTACCCAAGGCAGTTTGGCAAGGCGAAACCAGAACTTGGTGTGTTTTATAAACACAATCCTTGCTGTTCTGACCTTTCAAAAAATACTTGATGTAATGTCGGGAGAAGCTATATATTTTCCTTCTTTTTGATGAGGGGGTGATGAATCAAATGCCTAAAGTTTGTTGAGCAGTTTTGGCTTGCTCTCTTGACAGAGATATTTTTGGTCATCCGTGTTTTTTGGTTTTCCTGATACTATTAGAATCGCTATTGAAAATGTAAAAAATGAATCAATATTATTTTAGGTGGTGTAGGTTAAAAATTCACGCAAACAAACAACCCGAAGACAAAATATCAGACAGCACAATTTGCAAAAACATTGCACAAAACAAACAAAGATTTGCAAAAACATGACACAAGACAAAATACAAACAACCAAACAAACAAATCACCTACAAGTAGAAAGTAACATTCTATCTTGAATATGGACATGATGAAAAACGGTCCTAAATTCAATTTTCTTGACTCGTATTTGAACATATCCGCATCATTGTGAATTAGATACTGCAATTAACCCAGCGTGTTATTCGCACCTGCGGGTGTGATAGTATCATCATCAGATCGGATCAAACCAACAAACTTATCAGTTTTTTCGAACTTTAGTTTTTTCAACCTTTTTTTCAATTTTGTTCAAATGCAAAGTTGCTCCCTTTAAAAGCTATATATTATTTTTGTTCCACTATGTCTGGTACCATTTTTTCTTGTTTCACCTTATATACGAAAAAAAGAATTTTGGCAACTACTCTGGCTTGTCTTTTCGTGTAAGTCCATCCACTGGTGGTTACACTATCGAGCTGAGAATCCGGTAAGAAGTGATAATGATGGTCTTCAGATATTCACACCTCGGAATAACAGAAATTCTTTAATCAAATTTTATCAAATACAAAACTATGTATCATTTCACCTTTCATCGACTGCACTATTAATCTTCTAAAAAATTCTCGGCGAAAATTATCGCATATTATTAGAGAAATGAAAACAAAAATTAAAGATAGTGGCGATAATTTTCTCATTAATTACCAGAGATAATCCCGCTTGAGACAGATCAGGGCATATGTTGTGTTAGTTTGTCTAATTTTTTCGATTATAATCAAGGACTCTCAGGATGCGAAGAAAATAGCTGACAGGTGATCAGAAAGCATCAGTATTAGTTTACACACAACAACGAGAACTTGTGAATCGTCGTGATACTTGATATACAGGATGTTCCAAAAGTTCAAGAAATAGTAAGATGGCATTGTGGCTATGTTTATCCAATATTCCTGATTATTTGGTCAAAATGTGTCCTTCATTTTTCCCCAAAAAACATTTTTCATTTCTATCGTCGATATTCTTGTTGCAAAGGTAACAAATCGGTATGTGGAGCCGAACGATTTTTGGCTTTAATTAACAACAGAAAATAACAATTTCGGAACATTTCTATACCAGTATGTTAGTACTGAACAATTGATGTTGACTAGCATGAATGAACATCTTCATTAACTTGGCTAGTTTTCTTGTCCATTGTGCCAAGTAATCATTGCAAATACGCGTACAATTCCTTTCCGACGGGTTTGGAACTGTGGATTGTGATGTTATTTCGGATTGAGAGATGGTTCCTGAATGGAGATGAAAATTCAAAACCATTTTTATATTCTCTAACCCTCTGTAAATTAAACAAGATATGAACGTGCAAAATGTCACAACCTACCATTTATTACAGACGCAGCCACGAACGCCAACCGCCGAACACCAAGCTCCGAACATCGTCCATGAAAATGTTGGAGACTATAACAATATGGCACCACGTCTGGTGGTGACATAAAAAGGGCCATAGTACTTGCTTTATCAATCATATGTCCTGTTATCAGTACACTTGGCCATATATTAGGCATTTATTTTCTTATTCATGGTCTTCGGTGCTAAACAACAGAACTGGTTTGAAGAACAACGCATGAAAATAACTGCCATCTTTGGATACTTATTAGGCCTATACTGTATCTCAAATGCAAGTGGACTGATTTTTTCTTTTCTAATAGAAATCTGTATGTGACGTTTAAAAATGAGTTTAGCGTCAATTTTTTTCAAAACTTTAAATGTCTGTTTATCGGTATAAAAACACTTTTGTTTAATTAATTTTTCAATGACTTTTTATTGACCAATAGGGAAATGTTATACAACTGATTTCGACATTGGCTTATAACCTTGAAAAAATGCGACAAATCGTGACCCCTCGGATCATCTTTGACTATGAAATTAAACGCAGTTATTATCAATGAATGTCGAAATATTCAATATAGTCTTTCAAACTATCCTCTATCTCTTTTTCCGATATTCCATAGGGCTGCAAACTGTATGTATGTCGACCATATTTATGTTGAGGGTTCTCCTTTATATATTTCCTCATTGCGACGTCTGCTTCTGGGGTCAAGGTCATGTCAAAATAAACGTAAATCTTCTGCACAAGCAACATCGGTGTCTCCACTAGTTCATCATAGTTTATATCAATAAATTGGCTTTTCGATCCTGGGGTTAAACTTTGGTCGTATTCCTCACGGAATTTGAGGAAAGCACTAGTGAGGAATTTTAAGCGTTGAAGTAGCTGAAACGCCATCTCATATTTGTTAAGATTGAGATACGCTGGTTTGAGCAATGTTTCAGAAAGAGAAAATAATGACCCCAGTATGCTTTTTAGATTCCTTGACGGGTGAATAATACAAGCATCGGGAAAGACCTTGAGGATGGAGTCTAATCGTGCCATGTGTCCGTAATCCTTGCGTACATACCTTCTAGACCCTTTCCCTGTAAATAATATATAATTAGCCTATTGCAAATTTTATAATGGCGTGCAACTATCTTTATTTTTGTTTATTTGATATTTTGATACAAACGGAGTAAAAACCCAAATACTAACCACATTGGTAATCGATAAACAGCTCATTGAATATTGATTTCACTTACCAACTCGCAAGTTTGATATAGTTTTGAAATGTATGTAAAAACCGAATGCAGGAAAATGGTGGAGCAGCGGGGCAGCTATTACAGTCATGAAACATTCATAGCAAAGGGTAAACATAAAAGAATTATTGCAAAATTGCGTCAGAACTAGAAAAGAATCAACTCCAAGGAGTAGCAATCATTGGCTGACATTTTATCAACCTATTTCCCATTTTGAATATTTTGTGATATTTCTTTTCTTTGTTTCTTTTCGACAAAAATCATTTTCAAGATGAAGCCCAAAAAATGTCAGCTTCTCCGGAAATGCAACCTGTTTGAACTACAGAACTAAACAGTTATCTAATTTTGAATAAAGGCTGAATTTGAAAAACAGTCAGATTGAGGTATGGAAACGAGATTATTCTAGCTCTCGAATATCTTATTAGTCTTCAACAAAAAATAAACTTTACTGGGGTCAAATAATTACATAGACGATGCTCAGAGGAATGGGACAATAGATAAGTAGGAACGACCAAGTGGGTTACCTTGGTTAACTGCCAATATCTGCAAGACTTTTTTGTAGAATCTGTATATAGTATCATGAAAGTCAGGATCGGGGCTGTTGTACCATTCGAAGTAGTCATCCATGCCTGTGTTGGGTAAAGTGGGGAAAAGTAATATAGAGAGATAAGCTTCATGTTTTAAAAGATCGTGTACTTGAACGTTGAGAATTATGTTAATCTGGTAATTTGTTCTCACCTTGGTAGGAATTACTTCCCCATACTTAAGTATTTAAGTATAGGGAAAAAATTGTAATTGGAAAACCAATTAGGAAGACAGTAATCACTGGTGCTCATGATCATAATATTAAACGTTCATTTACGTTCACGTAAGTTCTCTTAAAACGTGTACTTAAACTCCGTATTATGATAATGAATAATAATAAACACATATCTAAATAACTTTTAGATATCTTAAAACCTATATTGAGAACTAAAACATACATTTTTTGAATCAAAATACCTAATAAGCGTACTCAATTGTAACAGAAAAGAAATTTCAAATAATCATAATTAAGGCCTGTTCTTACCTAATCTCATAAATTGTCCTAACCTCCCACAGCAAGTATGCTCAAGGGTATGTACACATTCGTCAGGCATCAGAGAATGCGCTTCATGCTTCATTAAAGCTTCGCCATCAAAAAATAAATCTGAAACGAGTTTGAAATAGAATTATTGTAATTTTGTTCGTATGTCCTTTTATTAATTTCATAAGTATGTGTATTTGTATGTGTGTTTGTGTGCTTGCGTTCGTTTATTTGTTCGTGCGTGTATGTCCGTGCGTGCGTACGTTTGTGTGCGTGCATGCATTTGTGTGTATGCGTGCGTTCGTACGTGAGTGTATGTGTACGTGCATTTATCCTATGCCAAGTAGAGTTTTAGGGAGATAAGTTGGTAAGATATATCCCGTATCCTGATTTTGAGGTTTCCATATCCAGAACCCCCATATCTCCCGCTTCGGTGCATATCTTCCCGCTTTCGGTAAGTAGTGGAAATGCAATAAAATGACTTTGCATATGTATGATTTGTTTATTTTTACACCTTGTACTATTGAAATGGCCATATGCCCCTGAAAACTCTACTTGGTATAGGATAAAGTAGTTATGTGTTCCATGGAATGACACAACGTGTTGGTCTACGTATGCTTAAAGTACTACTCAAATCATAAATCATAGGATCAATAACGCACTTACAGATAGCACCCGACTGATTCACAGTCCATTGCAATTGTATACTAGCTTTAAACAATCGTGTATCAGAATGCATTCGCGAATTCAACTGCCGGCTGTCGAATTATTCTATTATTTCATGGCCAACTCATTTAGAAATGAATAGTACCTGCCACTATTCCATTCATATTTGAATGAATTTGCCAAAAAGTAGGTTAAACCGATAGCCGGCAGTTGAATTCGAAAATGCTACCTCAGACTCGATTTTCACAGCATACAATTCATCTTACTGCATCATTTCACAAACTTTTATTGATTAAATCTTTTACTCACCCATTACTGACTGAGTCGATTTAATTTTCGCTGGTTCAGAAGTATGAGGAGGTGGTACTGGTGAGCCGAATAGCTGCCACAGAGGTGGCGCCAAATGGTTGGGATCTTGGGCAAGAATATTGAAGAGAAAAGTAGTACCGGTCCGGGGTAGGCCGATGATGAATATAGGTCGCTGAATTGGTATCTAAAAGGCGTAAAGCTATGGTTTACATTTGTATTTCTTGTTCGAGGTACTAGAAAAAAGCTGGCTCATTTTGACTCGAATTACCTGAAGAACTGATGGATTTTCATGAAGGTATCTGCTTATCTGCCTATCTGTCTCGATATGGGAAAACCACTGGGAGCTGAGTAGCATAGCCATACTAGGTCTGATACGTAGGTCCCGAGAAAAGCAAGATAAGTAAGTCGACGCAGGCTGCAACCATTTTCTTGATAAATGCTCATCATTATCTTCTTCTAGAACCTACATGCAATAAATACTTTATTCTAATAATGATGGGTGTATTCTTTGAGGATGTGATTAACTTTAGGCTACTCTCTAAAACTAGGTCAAGGTGATAGGTATGTGAAAACGTTTTTTGGAACATGATTTTGATAATACTCAAATAATGATAAAATGACATTCAAATTGACCTATTTTGAATATTTAAGATGCAGAAATGTTTAAATCATTAGGTCGAGAAAGGGTCCATTTTCAGTTATGTTCCAAGATAACCTTAACAAGCCATGAGCATGCAAAATGTCATCACCTGGCATTAGTTACAGACGCTGACCACCGAACGCCGTCCATAAAAAGTTGGAAACTATGTGTCACCACTTGTGGAGGTGATATGGAAATTTAATGATGAAAATTTACCTCTTTGAATTTCGTGAGTAGTTCATCCTTCTTTACTTTCACAATCTGAATGCCAATGTAACGATTAATGAACATTAGAATCAAATCCACAATCCAAATTATCCCACCTCCTACTTTCTTTAATAATCCCATTGTAAACCTTCACAGTGACTACGGGCTTGCAAAATGTTCAGCTCGACCAGTATGTCTCACTCTATACAGGCCTTTTATCAATAAAAGGTGAATACCAATGTCAAGTTCGCTCTATCATGTGATGCGACGACTCTTAAAATGTTGTTTAAATATTAACTTTAAACATCAAGCAAGCATTCTTACGCACTTTTGACGTTTCCAACGTCAAAGAAAGAACTCAACTCCGGGTACATGTAGTTTGATTTCTAAAATATGATGGTTTCTAAAAAATAATCATTGTTTCACTTGTAATAACGTTTGGTCTTGATGTTAAAGTATATTTAATGAAAATTGATACAGTTCACTAATGACTTTGGTATAGAAATGAAAAACTCAGATTTTGATTTAATGTAAGTTATTGCTCAAATAAAAGACTGATTGATGGATGGTCACATGAAGAGGTTCGCTATCCTTACCGAATCTTGTCTTGGGATAACAAACATTGTAACAAAATGTACCGATCAGAATATAGAGATTATCCTATGAGGTTCAGGATAGTGGGATTATATTGACAAAGGGATAATCCCAATATCCTGAACCGATGATAGGATGATCTGTTTATCCCATACCAATCTTTGTCATCTGGTTCACATTGTTCAATTGGCCACAGTTAAGAAATTTCAAACAAACCGTGGAATTATTTTAAAATGTTCATGTCCTTTTTTCTCGGCCGTGGCGGGATTTTCCTGTTTTTTCAGATATCCATCCACATTTTTCTCGAATCGAACGTTCCAAAAATACCAAAAGCGAACGGCGATTATGACATTGCGGGCAGATATACTATAAAGTTTTACAAGTTTTTACAATCCTGCTTTATTATGTACCTAAACGCGTCTAAGTATGGGATAAATAGCTATCCAATCATGATTGATAATCCTGTACAATACGTTATTAAACTTCTACTTTAAATACGAACTCCCGTGCAGTGATATACCGAGACACTGCATAGGAGTTCGCTTTAAATATAGATGGTTCTGCAATCAACTTAACACAAATGTGTAGTAGCGCTGCAATCTGATAATCTGGGGGCCATAAACAGAAACTTCTTAAAGTTAACAATTCATAAAATCCATTGTTCTCTAACTGTGACGTCATTATATCCATGGTTACAACAATTGATTTACTAATTCGTAACTCTACGAAATTTCTGTTAATGACCCCCTGATGACTATGAGGATTGCACCACAAGTTGTAATCTCTATTGTATATTTAAGAACATTTCAAGTTTCTGTTAAAACTATTTCACAACTGCAGGTGTTAAGGTAAGCAAAATTCATAATTACATTGTTACCAAAATGATAACATTTAAGTCTTTAAAATAAGTAACACTTTAACATACACTATGTGAATATCCATCTAAAATAAACACCGGATATTTTCACGTGAAGGCTAATTAGAAGTTTCTGGTTGCAATTGAAATGGTCTTGAGTTTTACATTATTCTTTATAATATGTAAAGTAAACTATGTATAATTTCTCCTTATTTAGGGGTTTGGTTGAAAAGAACACAACAAGCAGAAATGACAGAAGAAAGTTTCGCCTCCTCCGGGGCAGGGGCTGCATCCTGCTACCCCGTCCAATGTTCAACCCTGAGGAAGGGTGGTCATGTGATGATTAAAGGTCACCCATGTAAAATTGTGAACCTCTCCAGTGCTTCACCTGGGAAACACGGTCATGCAAAGGTAAGACAGGAGAAACAAGGCATTAACATGCAAAATGTCACAACCTGCCATTTGTTACAGATGCGATGTCATTTGTTACAAACGCAGACCAACACTTGTAGTGTTGACATTATAAATGAGAATTTCATACTCCATGGCAATGCTATAATCTTCAAAATACTTTAATAAATAAATTATGAATTTCTTTAACTAAAGTACACATAAAATATACATATTAAGTTGAACTATAATTTATTTCCTTATTTCAGATTCAACTTGTTGGCCTGGACATTTTCACTGGGTCACGCTATGAGGATAGCTGCCCATCAAAGCACACAATGTCTGTCCCAGAGGTCAACAAAAATGAAATACATGTCAGTGATTGGTTGATTTTGCAATTTGTTTGAAATCAATCTGCTCGTACTTGAAGTTGAAGATAGAATAATATTTATAACAAAATCATCGTGATAAGAGTTGTATAAAGCAATTTATCTTTCCTCAAAACAAAATTTGGGATGATTTGTTTGTGGAACCATATTTCAATTAGTTTAATAATTGCTTCAATTAACTCTGTATGATATATCAATTTAGGTGTTGTCTGTGGCCCATGATGGTTACATATCGCTGTTGTTGGAGAATGGGGAGATCAGGCGTGACCTGAAGGTTCCTGACAATGGACTAGGGAAGGAGATTCATGATCGCATCAAACAGGAAGAGGATATCGCTGTAAGTTTAACATTAAAGAGAGAATCTGTATATAAGCAGGGATGAAAATTCAAACAGATTCTTAGAATTAACTGAACAATGCATTTACTGATATCACTAATGTAAAATAATATAAAAGTACCATGGGTACTAAGCTTACATATTTAAATAGCTGAAAACCTGATTTTTGGCAATAAAATTATGAAAATATTCACAAATGTTACATTCAATCCCCCAATGCTCCGTTTTGCTGAACAAAACATTCTCACTAATCACAAGCTACATAATACATTATATGTCTCTTATCAAGTCTTCCCTAGGTACTAAGTAGTGTATGTATGTTACTAAACAACTCAATCTGTCCCACAATACACAAAAATGTGATGCAATGCTTGGCTTTAATGAACTAAAACTGATTGTGTCTTACTTATAATTTCAGGTGTGCATCCTCTCTGCTTGCGAACAAGAGGCAATCATTGGAGTGAAGAAGCTCCACTTTGACCCATGAACTATCACCTATACCTAGTCCATGATGCAGGACTCTACCTTATAAACAACACATGATATCTATAATGATCACCACACTATGATGCAAGCAGAATGAACATTGTGACTTTCCAGTCAGGGTACAGCCGAGTTGTAATATATAGAGATTATCCTATATGAGGTTCAGGATATTGGGATTATCCTGAGGCCAATATAATATATTTGCCCGAGGGCCGCAGGTCCCGAGGGAAAATATATTATATTGGCCAAGGGATAATCCAAATATCCTGAACCGACTATAGGATAATATGTTTATCCCATACCAATCTTGGTCATCTGGTTCACATTGTTCAATCGTGGAAATATTTTAGAATATTCATATCCAGTTTTGTTTTCTTGACCGTGGGCGGATTTTCCTGTTCTCTCAAATATTCCCACATTTATTTTCTCGAATTTTTTGATTGATTAAGTGGATGCCCCTTCCCTTTTTAAAACCATCAAACAGATCCCGATTGTCTGTGTGTTCTCCATTGTATTTTACAGTCATTACGCGAACGTTACAGATTATGAACAAATATGCGAGCGGCGATTATGACGTAGCGGGCAGATATACTATATCTGCCCGCTCGGAGCGGGACGTAAAGCTATATCTGCCCGCTGATGAAAATATAAGTTTTTACAAACCGGCTTTATGTACCTGTAACACGTCCAAGTATGGGATAAATTCATATATCTCAGTGAATATGAACATATCGACTCTATCTCGTCTGACCTGATCTGTAACAACAGATTGATCATGCAATCATTCCATGAGAATTTGTCCAAAAATGAAGCGTTTTAAAAAATTGATGGATCAAACATATGACCATTTTAAGACAACCTCAATACTTTAGATATCATAATGCATGTGCATGATATATTCTTACGTATCATTGCTTATGACAGTAAACTAATAAAAACATTGCCTTGTTTAGAAAAATAAAGTACAATGAAATATAACAAAGTGTACCTTTTTTGTACAATATGAGGGAGACCAATAGGTTCAAGAAGCTTTAAGCTTGATTTGACTAAAGAGCTTTGCTACAATTGATCAGTGAAGGTCCGAACAGTGACACAACATTGCAATTAGTGGTTCCATTTTGACCAGATGCGGTCAGATCACTGATCAAGCTAAATTTTAAGGGATCGATCAATTGGTATGACCAAAAATCATTTCTTTTTAATTTTCAAATAAAGTTTTATTCCATCACATACATGACAGCATGTATTATATATAAATTGACAATATATTCAAAACATCTGAACTGGCTTTATAAAATCTCAAGATATTATTCATTTCTTCTTCTTTTTCCTCTTTTTCTTTGTTTTACTAGCAGTAGAACTAGCTGTAGAGTCTGTAGATTTTGCAGAAAATGATACAACATTTTCAGTTTCTGTTTTTATAGCGTCTTTACCATCAGTGTCTTTTTCCTCAGTGTCAATACAGAGGTCATCTAGTGCGTCCACAGTGTCCATTTCAAGATTAGGTGCTGAAGACACTTCACTTGCAGATGCTGATCTGCCTTCAAACTGACCTCGCACTGGAAGAGACATCGAGTATTTTAAATTACAAGAAATTAAAACATGAATGGATGATGTGGATAATGATGCACTTAATCTTAAGTAGCTGAAAGTGGGATGGCAATACCCTGTTTTTGACCAACCCTCTCATTTCAAACATAGAAGATAATCCTATGCTAGGACTTATACAAGAAACTTACCCCATTTGAATGGGAATCTAACTCGTTATCCCCCGATTACATGTCAGACTGTTCAACCTATTGAGCTCTGGAGTAAACTGACTTACCCCTTTACAACAGCAATAATACTGAACTGATATTGATAGAGTAGTAATCAATGTATGTGGTTTGAAAGTGTCCAACAAGTATAAGCTGTCAGTCACATTTTATTCAAGTGTCCACAGTTGATGTAGCATTCAGTTAGAATCACAACCACTTTATATGTTATGGCATGATGGTTATAGAATGCTGCAACCATTTAGATGCCACATGTCTAATAGAGTAAGGTCAGCCCATATTTGACGAAACCCTCCTGCGCAAGTCATGGTTCGGTTCAGTTAACCACAATTTTTGTCCCTGGCTGGCACAGTTCTACTGGGACGGTCAGATCATCAAGAACTGATGCACTGTGAGAGCCAATGATATGTGAATATTTGATTTAGCCCCATCAATTCAATTATGAAAATTGCTATCTTACCATCTGTGTTATCTCTGATGTCCCACACTCTGAACTCCTTCTCTCCACTAACAGCGAATATAAAACCAGACTCTGGACAGCAACTGGCACATTGGATAGGGCCCTGTAATTGCAAAGTATGTCATGTCATGTCATATTACAGGACAAGGGCAAGTATAAAGCCAGACTCTGGACAGCAACTGGCACATTGGATAGGGCCCTGTAATTGCAAAGTATGTCATGTCATATTATCGGACAAGAACTAAATACTCTAAGATATTAATGTTCAGGGTTCTCACAAGGCTTTTGACTCCAGAGATTCTCTGGAGATTTTTCGGAGTTTAATGTCTTTAGATCCTCTTCCTAAGATTCTAATAGTTTTTCCGGAGACGAAGTGAAATATGGAAATACAGAAATTTAAAACATGGCTATTTTGACTATACATAAGTACTGTACATTGTTCAAACTTGAATAAACCTATAGTGCTTATAGACCATGAGTTAATACAGGCCAAAACTCAGAAAAGTTACTTACTATTTTCATGTTTTTCTCTGTGACACATGAAGGTTTTGAGTCAGCGATGTCCCAAACTTTCACAGCTTTATCTTCAGACCCTGTCACTAGGCATCCTCTAACTTGGCTACTGAGGCTTAGTGCAGTCACAGCACCAGAGTGGGCATTCAATGTGAACACAGGTTTGTCGGTTCTAGAGTCTACATAGTACACATACCCTTGGTCTGTACTTGCCTGCAATAGTAAAACAAGGAATTAACATGCCAAATTGACTGCCAAAAAGTGACTGCTGCCAAACATCAACCACAGAATATCTTCAACAAATAAAGTTGGAGACCACAATAATATGTCACACTTCTGTATGTCACCACTTCTGTTGGTGACATAGAAAAATAATACATTTTTGTAAAATCATTTAGTTTGCCTTAAATCAAGTATGCGTTTTTAGGGTATTTTTGAAATATAGACAGGACAAGGAATGATAAGCGCCAAAAATATTCAAAAGTTAAACTAATTTCAGTTGAGGTAGCTCACTAGGTCATACAATACCTTTTTATTAATATTATTTTAATGTTTCTAATGAAAAAATTATAAGGTTGAAATGAAGCTTTAAAAGGATTACTTACAAGAAAGTAAGTTGGGTTGAAATGATCCCAGACAACTCTCTCTATCTCTCCACCTAGCTTCCAATTTCTATGTGTCTCCTCAGGACTGCGACAGTCATATACAATAACACTCCTGGAATAGTATAAACCATGAAATAGTAAAGTCATCAGAATAAGACTCATGGAATAGCAAAGTCATACACCCTTCAATCTTCATTCCTTAATATAATAAACATCAATAAAATAGAAGTTCAAAAAGAGAATTTACTTCAAATGTAACGATGATTCCAGATATCAACAAACTGAACTTACTTGTCAAATCCACCAGATAAAAGTGACTGTGGTTCATAGGGATGCCATTGTATGGTCTGTACCTGGAGTAAACAAATGAAATATCATAATTTCACAGGTAGAATAGATTGAGTGATCTGGCTAGTTAAACCTTTTTATCCACCCACCCTGTCTACCTTATGTGTTGAGAATTCAGGTTTGGATATTTCTACCCTTACATTTGTTTCACTGTCATTTGTTGCATATCATTGAAATCACCGGTGAACGTTGAAAATGAAAGACCCGATTAAAGCCAAATTTGCCTGAAAATCCAAAACATTAAAAGAGGGAGTACCTTTTCTTTGTGCTGCCGTAAAGTTGTGACAGCAGTTCCCTGTGACATATCCCATAATGCAACAGTGTAATCTGCACTGGCACTCGCAAGAACATTCCTTGCGTGATGATTCCATGATAGATCTAAAACTGCATCTGTGTGACCACCCAGAGCTCCTTTCTACAATGTCAAGGCAAAAGGACCTTATACACCCTCCATTGGGATCTCCCCATGGGAAAAAAATAATTCATCTGATTTTTCAAAATGAGTATTCTGCTTCAATTATTACATTGATATGCACACTAGTATCTTGTTGACCTATATTCAGCACTGTATTGATGTATAGGCCACTTATTAGGGTCATAATTCAATCATGAAGTGTAGAGGCATAGATTCCAAACCAGGAAGTATTTTTGTGTCTGTCAAAATCCATTTACATCCTACGCATCCCTGCATCTTATCCAAATATTTTACTACATAATGAAATATAATAGTATAATCTTTGGTTTTACAAACTTGTATGATATTTGATAAGTGTAAAAGTTGTTTTTGGAGCATTTTTCTATAGCCATTTTGTAGGGAAAAAATGATGAAAAAATGTACAATCTTTTAATTTTAAGTATGACCTTAATCGATTGCAAACTTCATATTTGCACATTTGATGAGATAAACCATTTGTGTCGTATTGTGAAATTATTAAGTTTGCAATCGATTCAAGTCATAGTGTATTTTTGGTATTTCTGTGGTAATCAATGGAAACCAATGGCCTCTATTGGGATCTGCTGATATCCTCATGTTAAGTCACTGGTGCACAGCCCCATGTAAGTCAATACAACCTTACTGAACGAAATGATCCCTATCTCAGCTTATGTGTGTCCGAGCACTTTAATATTTTCCAAAGTATTATATGACATTTTATTCTTCATGTTACACTTACGAATGATTCATTTTGACCATAGGGATATTTGCCAATAATTGCACCTTGTCCTTTGTTAAATTGATGTACCATTAGTCCATACCAACATTACTCAACATCAATAGATTAGCTTTGTCTGTATGAGTAATACTAAACAACGTACAATGAAACAAGGGGTTTCTAGAAAGTCTAAACGGCCTGTGATTGGGCACCATCCTCAAAAATATGCAATATAAATGCAGCAATATAGCACTATTTTAAGTGCGATTAAAATTTATAAAATACCGACAATGTTACGAAAATCTATATTCCATTTATAAATAAAAGAAATTGAAAGCTACCTTTTTTGATTTCTTCTTTTTCTTTGACTGTTTAGTACCAAGTGTCAGTGCAGGCTCTATGCTCTCCATAATGTCCATGTCCCAGATGTCTATAGTTGGTTCCATGGATCCTACAGCTACTAGGTTACCTAGATAATTGGGAAACTTATTTAGTTAACCCTTAAGGAGTGCATATAATGTGAAAGATACTCGAGTTCAGGAAGAGTGCTTTTCCAGTCAGTTCAAACAATAAAAAATGTGAACTTAATTTACTTATTGCCCCTTCCCAAAACGTTTGTTAATATTTGCCAAAAAATGTTTGTGTGTTATAATGCACCATATCTGGACACACAGGTTACTTAGGTAATTATGAAACTTATTTAACCCTCAGTAAGTATGCATGTAATGTGGGAGATATTCAAGTTCAGGAAGAGTGCTTTTCTCATCCGTTCAAACAAATGTGTATTTAATCTACATATTGCCTGTATTCCCAAAACTTTTGTTAATATTTGCAAAAAAATATCTGTGTGTGTTATAATGTACCATATTTGGACACATCTTGTACTTTAATGCACTAACAAATGAAACGATGTATTTACCTGGTTTATCTGTCCCAGGGTCAAAGTTCATACACTCTATAGCCAGGGGATAGGCAGGTAAATAGATGTCGTGATGACCATATAAGTCTCCCTCATTCTCATTATATACTGAAATATAATCATGTACTTAAATGAACAAGGTGACAATTTATGTATAAGTTCATTATGAAACATACAATTAAGTTAATCTAGCAAATAAAATACAAAATTGTACTGAATAATGAATAAGTAACATGTGTAGTGATACATATACATGCAATGAAAATTTTTGTTTATCGTGTAATTATGACAATTATGTAACAAATTTTTAATAATTAAGAATGCAGTGTTGTTCTGGTACAAGTTCAAAATGGAACTCACCAAATACTTGTAAATTACAGAATTCATTTTGAGCTTTGGCAACAACAACTAAATTGTCAGTTGGTTTAATAATCGATGCTTCCTCTTCATCATCACTGTCTTCTTTTAGTGTGATGTAGGGGTCTTGTGCATTACTAGCGTAAAATGTAAGACCCCCTATACTTAAAGGATCTCCATCTAAAGGGAACAGTAATTTAAAAATTAAACTCTGGAAAATTAAAGGAATTAAATTTGCATCCATGAAGGGAATACAGATGTCTTTACAATACTAGAGAGAGTAGTGGAGATGAGTGGGGTGTCAATTTCAATGAGTGGAGATTGATATTTCTATATTAACAAACAATGATTAATTACATACTTGCACATGCACAGTAAAACTTCAGGTATCTACCATGATTTTATTTGAATATGAAGCAGGAGAGTTCAGAGAATTCTGAATTTTGCTTTAAAAATGAACAAGATATCTGATCTCCAATTTTTTTTTAGATAATTCTGAATATTTTATCTTTTTTTTGCAAAATTGTCATCGTACCATCAGCATCTTCATCATCGTAGTCATCAAGGCCATATGCTTTCACAATGTCATCATCCTCTTCGTCATTAATTGCATCATCATCGTCATCATCTTCATCTGGCTTGGCTTTCTTTTCTGAAAAGGTTAAATAAATTTTAGGTTTTGAAAAGTGTGTGCAGGTAACTACATGAATTTAACATGTTTTAAAACTTTTAAATTATTCCTTTGGGTAGGCTTGCAGTAATTTTACCTTTCTTAATTTTGTGTTTCTTGGAAGATTTAATTTCTCTTGGGTCGAGATCTACCGTGTCCATGTTCTCATCATCCCCATCAAGGTCACTAAAACATATAGAATCACACATTTAATGTACCATTAACATGCTATCTTTATGGTAAGAAATTGGGATTTCAAATACAATTGAATAGGACAGACTTGGACAGTACCCTTTATCAAATTCAGAATTAGTTTGATTCCAAGAGCACAAATAACAAATCATTCAAATTCCTTACAACCCCCACCTCTACACTATAGTATGCCTAGATTTCTTAAAGGACTGTATGTTCTACCTCTAATCTTCACTTAACACAAATTCCTATCTTGGCTTAACAACATCTTAGTTCTTACCCTATTTCTTCTTTACTTTCTTTAATGAGTTCAGCGAGCTCTTCTGGATTCAGCTGGACCTGGAGAGCAATTAAAAATACATATTGTGATTATATTTATGCATCTTGGGAAATAATCAGGATTTCAAATAGATTATCAATATACTTAAGATTATAAGTTGAGGGTTAAAAAATATTTAAGATATTTACAAAAAAGTAAATTCAATGACCCACATTTTTATATTTTGAACAAATGGTCATTGAATTTTCTGAATTTTCATACATTTTAGAGAGTTCTTACTAGTGATCTCCCCAGCATTAAGGCAAGTGGGCGCAGCACCTACCTGAGATTTTGAAAATAGACTTGCACCCACCTGAAAATCCATTTGCACCCACTTGAAAATGAGAAAAAACTCACTTTGTCTGGTCTTTCCTTAGCAACACCTCTTTTGACCCATGTCACACATGGAACGCAAGTCATCTTGGCAACTTTGGTGTTATCAGCTGATCTGTAAAACACAAACAAACAATACACACCAAAGCATATGTATTCTATTGTAATATCACATAATGAATTTGTACATAGGTATACATTGTATGGCACAAAGTAACAGTACATCACATTCTGTAAAATGATGCGATGGTGACATTTTGAGCATCATGTGACTTTCAGAGAGACACATTATTAAAATATCTTTTTGAAGCATTAATGACCCAAAAATAAGAAGGAAAATTCATTCGCCAGGCATTGTCAGTAAAAAGGTGTATTCAATGAGCATATTCACTAGCTGTGGTGTTTTTGGTCCAGGGCAAAACTAAAATCTATCCCATAAACAATACAAAAATTTAAAAATTAGTAGTCAATTTTCCATCACCACTTCACTTCCAAACTATAGTGGTTTGAAAGCCCATAGTTTCCAATATTATCGAGATATATATTCCCTTTAATTTGTATATTATACGCTTTGTTTACTCTCATCCCCTCATCTACTGTAAGGTAAGATGATTTGTGAAAATTTTGGATTCTTGCAAATGTTTGACTGTTGCAAGGCTACTCCTTCAAACTTTCAAAAATTAGCCTCATTTCACGGTCTCCATGCTAGCTTTAGGGACCCATGCATCTCCAATTCATAGTCATGAAAAATGCGTTTAGATGTGAAGTTTTCTTTGACATATCTCTTTAGTCAGGAAATGCATTCACATATAAGGAAAACAGATACATAAAATCTTGTGACTTTATCAAAAATATATGGGTGATGAACATGTAAGGAAGTGATTAAAATGCAAAACACGGCAATTTTCACCCTCAAATTGTTAGCTCCACGTCCACTGTTAAAAATCGGTAGTCCTAGAGGTCTTTGTTTCCTTAGGTTCATTTCCGTATATTATTTTTAACGAAGGACAGCCTATAACGACAACTATACGCAAAATAGATGCATGAAATTATGTTTCGAAACTGAAAGTTGAAAAATGGCCGAATATCCCATGTTCTATGCGCATGCGCAAAAAAGAAAGTTCTTCATTCCCACGATTCAGAACGATTCGAATTACTTTTCGGCGGTTGGATCGGTACCAAATGAAAGATTATTGCCAAGGAACGGAAAACATGTTTCGAAAATGAGAGTTATTTGTTTTATCACTAAAGGAAAATATTCCCGCAATATTAGGTGCATCATGGGAAGGGACTGGTGTGAAATAATGATACAAGTGACATCTATCTAGAAAAATATGTGGTCATTGCGCATGCGTTCATATAATATGAACTAATCAAATTGCTGGATTGAACGCAACTGCGCATGGAACACATTTTCAGTTTCGAAACATAATTTCATGCATCTATTTTGCATATAGCAGTCGTTATAGGCTGTCCTTCGTTAAAAATAATATACGGAAATGAACCTAAGGAAACAAAGAACTCTAGGAACTACCGATTTTTAACAGTGGACGTGTCTTGAGGAAGAAATCTACTCTGGAGCTAATAATCGTGAGGTGAAAATTGCCGTGATTTTCATTTTAAACACTTCTTAACATATTCTTCAGATTTCTCAGCAAATAGTGGATGGATTGCTACCATTTTAGGTAAGTTTACTCTGTAATGTTGTTTGAATCAGCATGTCGATTATTGAAAGGATTTCATATATTTTTACTGGATATATCTAACAATCATTTTCTACAAATTTCAGGTAGCATCAAAATCGACCACCCTTTTTCTCTTAAGGTGACATTTAAGTTAATCAAAAGTACAAAAACATGGGAGCCATATTTTTTTGATAAAGTCAGAAGATTTTGTATACTGTTTTCCTTGTATGTGAATGCATTTCCTGACTAAAGAGACACATAAAAGAAAACCTCACATTTAAACGCATTTTTCATAACTATGAATTGGAGGTGTATGGCTCCCAAAAGCTAGCATGAAGAGTGCGAAGTGAGGCTATTTTTTGAAAGTTTCAAGGAGTAGCCTTGCAACAGACACACATTTGCAAGAATTCAAAATTTCTAGATATAGTCTTACCTTACCAAGGAACAACGAAGGAGCACGAAAATGTGTACTTCTTGCATTGTTAGAGTATAATAAAGCTCGAACCATTGTGAATTCTAAATATTTCATGTCCACCATTTTGTTTCCTGGAACTATTTTTTAGTCCAGAGTTATCTTCATTCATGTTTCCATTGTTTATCATTCATAAAGCCTCTATCATGTATCTATCATGATAATTACACTGTAATAGATAAAACATACAAGTGATAATCCATGCCACTTGGTGTAGTTACAAAACTTGCATGAGGATTAATCAGGAAGTCTAGAAGTAGTTCCGGCAAACAAAATGTGGACATGAAATATTTAGAATTTACAATGGTTTGAGCTTTATTATACTCTAACAATGCAAGAAGTGCACATTTTCATGCTCCTTCGTTGTTCCTGGGAAAGGTAAGATGATTTGTGGAAATTTTAGACTCTTGCAAATGTGTGACTGTTGCAAGGCTACTCCTTGAAACTTTCAAAAATTAGCCTCACTTCGCACTCTTCATGCTAGCTTTGGGGATCCATGCACCTCCAATTCATAGTTTGGAAAAATGCGTTTATGTGTGATGTTAACTTTGACATGTTTCATTAGTCAAGATACACAATTCATATACAAGGTAAACAGATTTTAAAAACATGTGTCTTTATCAAAAAAATATGGCAGTCATTTTTTGTACTTTTTATTTAATATAGCGTCGCCTTAATAAGCAGTACACACATCGGAGGGCTTGCCCGACGCCTCGAGACAAGCCCCTGTGTGTTTGCCTGAGTTCCACAATGTAACCTAGCAGGAGGGATGACATAGACTCGAGTGATTTATCTTACTCGAGTCTCTAGCCAATACTTGGCTAGAAGGAATTGCATCTGGAATACTGTGAACTCTATTTGAAAAAAGCTGGCCGTGGTGTCATAAATTTATTGAATATTTTAAAAATCGCCAGATAAATAAATCATTAATCAAACCGGACCCAGCTCGGCTCCTTGATGAGATATGACATGATTTCATCAGGATTTCGTCTAAAATTAAAACAAAATGGCTCCAAGAAAAATGGCGATGTTCGAAAACTGGACGAAATGTCGTTAAGGACAGGGTGCATGTTGGGAAATTTTCTGCATTCCTCAATTGAGTCACATGTTATTTTTCAAACATGAATAACTCCTTCCCCACATTGTCTACATCTTCCAAGTTTGCACAAAGAGTGCACTTCTGTGCCTAGAAAAGCCTTGTGAGAAGGTTTGTTTTGTAAAATGTATAAAAAATGAGAAAATTCAGTGAAAAAATTTACTGAAAATTTTCTGATTTTTTTCACTGATTTTTCTTGTGAGTGGCCTTAGAAGAAGGTAAGATTTCATTTTTAGTTTTTTTTATTCTCAACAAGAACAACTTTGTGCTCATGTCTATTTTGCCTTTCAGTTACATACGTATAACACATACTTCTTGTAAAAATGAATTAATATTTTCGACAATATTACAGATTGCGTTTTATCTTGAAATCTACTTAGGCCTAACTTACCCAATTTTTCGAAATATTTTCACGTGTGGATTTTTAAAAGTAGGTCAATAAGAGCTACGGGCTGAATAATCAAGTTTTTTCAGATTTCTTTTACTGATCAAGTGATATAAATGAAGCTCCAGTTTTAATGTATTATTTAACATCTCAAAGAAATAGGAAAATGCTTGATTTATCGAGACTATCTAATTGAAAGAGCATATCTGATTTACTATGCACCAATGAAAAACCGTATGGAATTCATTTCGAAGAAAATAATAATAAAGCACGGGTAAGACATTATGCTGTTTCTTTTCAATTTATTTGAAAGTTTAACTCAACTTATGATCAATTTGCATGAATCACGCAATTAAAATATATATGTTCTTTATGTGTACGAAATACTAGGAATATTAGTGCCGTTTTATTAGTAAAATTCTTAGTTTGAAATTTGATACTTTTCAGCAGCTGCAAATAGGCTGTATTGTATTGTAGATATTGATGAGTGAATAAGTGCTCATTTAGTATTTGCTCATTGAGTCTTTTGTTCTGCCCAATTGTTTACTGGAAATAAAAAAGGATTGATACATACTTATTATTACATATGTGGATGGAGTTTATAGCCTGACTGTTACATTATTTTAAAGGCCGCGCCTGGAGAGCCTTAAAGGCTCTCTAGCCAAATGGGTTACCAAAATGCTAAAGAGCCTTAAATTTTAAGGTTCTTTAGCATTTTGGCTAAAGAGCCTTAAATTTTAAGGCTCTTTAGCATTTTGATAGCCAATTCTGCTAGAGAGCCTTAAAGGAATTCCAGGCGACAGAAATGACGAAATATTGCTTCTGGGACAAGATCAAACGACTTTGACATATTCTATACCCAACCTATTTTGTAATTTAACAATCAGCACAAATATACATACCATAGCACATATCGGACAAATTTAAAAAAGATTTTTGATCGATAAAATCACTGATTATATTAAACCGGAAGTGTCTTCTCTGAGGTCCGCGAAGATGAAGAAGATAACATATAAAGATTTCAGTCATTTCAACTAACTTTGCCGTCGATTTGATTTATATGGTTTTAAATGATCTTCTAATGCTTACTATGACTTCTATTAGTACTGTTTTGACTTCCCCACTTCATAAAAAACTTTATCACTTTTTGCTCGACTCATAAATTTACTTCCGGTCTACCGAGACAAATAAAAGAATTGTTTTCAATTCTCAGTCTAAATTTGGCCTTTAAAAGGTTCAAAAATCGATTTTGAAAAGTAAATGTTTGTTTGTTTGATGTTCATGCATTTATCGAAAATATATGTCTCTGGTTCACCAGAGAAGGTGTAAGACCAGGCAATCACGTATAGCCAGAAAAATGTTATTTTTACCATTTTATCCACTATAAATCGCAACGTCCGTTTAGTAAAGATTTTGATGTATAGACATTTATTGATGGGTTGGAGGCTAGGATAAAAATGTTGTTGTTGTGTTGCATAAGCCGCTGTTTCCTCGACAGTTCACCTCTTGTACTGTAAATTTTCTTTGTGCTCTCTCATGTGCTTAAATTCTCACTTGTGAGGAAAATATTATGCAAAAATATCTCGTCACGTGAAAAATTCTAAAATCAGCATTGAAATCTAATGGGCAATAGATTTGGAAGTGTTTTCTGTGATGTCCCTGGGCTGATGTCCCTGCATTCACGATAAACTTCGTCAAGATGTGCTGATCTAGAAGAAACAAGATCCTTTTTCATCCCCAGGTCTTCATCATACTTTTTGCCATCTTAAAATGGGATTCCCTGTATTCTCGTGACTATAGCAAAGCCAATACAAGTGATTAATTTCATTAAACATTGATGATTGAGCGATGGAGCAAGCCCAAGAATTCTAGAAAAAATTGTGTACATAATTTCCGGACCTCAGAGAACAAACTTCCGGCTTGTTATTCAAAATAAAAAGTGCTCCGTCGGGGAATCGAACCCATGCAGCAGAAATGGTAAGCGAGCCCTCTAACCACTACACCAGAGTGTTATACCATGTTAGGTCAAATTTTTTTGCAACTCTGTAGTGATATACATGTGTGAAATTTTTAAGTGGCATTCTGGGTTGAAAAGCTTTCGGGAGTGTTGTTTTATTGTTTAGATGACGAAAACTTCAATAAAAAACAATATAAACACGGATTATAAACACAAAGGCTCTCTAGCCAAAACACTTTGTTCACAGCTAAATAGCCTTAAATTTTAAGGCTCTTTAGCATTTTGGCTAAAGAGCCTTAAATTTTAAGGTACTCCAGACACTTCGTATTTTAAAAGGAAAATAGATGTCTAGAATTCACAAGTCGTAGATGTATGAAATCTTGAGAATATACACTGTATGTACTATCATCAGACTTCATGCTTTTGCTTCTATATTATACATATATGACTTGTGCTGTCTTGAGATAGCATGTATGGATTTTATAAAAGATAAATGCATAAATTTATATTCTTTGGAAAGAGTTTCATTTCATTTACATCTGTAAAAGATTAGCCTAAAGTGGTGAACATAAATAATTACAACCACTATGAAAAATACATTCTGTGAGACATTGAGTGCTCTATTTTCTCCGTCACGGAACGTACAAATATAGTGGAATTTGTGTCCATAATGACAAATAGGAACTTAAAAATTTGAAGTGATATTTACATGTTAATTCCGACTCTTCAAATGTTGAGGTGATTTTGGAGCCCGATTACTCCGCAAGGAGGATTGGCTCCCAGAATGCAACATGACACGTGCCAACTTTCAAAATGCTGTTCCGACATTTTGAAACCTGTCACGAGGTAAATAAGGTTAACTGATGTTGCATTCTGGGAGTCAATCCTCCTTGGATCACAAACATGGCGATTCATGAAAACATTTGTTCGATTTGGTAGGAATTTATCCATCATTTTACACTCCATTTGCAGGTATGAAGCTTTGGATTCATTTATTGTGCTACTTAGTGTGAACGGGAATTATTTTTCTACGGCTTGAGGGAGTTTGAGACATGAAACTTAGAATTTAGCTCATTGTGACAACTTTTGATGGTTGAGGTTTATTAATGTCTCCGACTGTATCTCTAACTTTAATTAGTTTGTAGGTCTCAGCATAGATTTGACTATTTGCACATGTAAACATATACAGGAGTATATGTAAACAACATTAATATTTGACTCTAATATCACAAAGTTTGTCTAATTCTGACAACATCCTTTAGAAGACACACCGTGGGCAATATATCTTCAATATTTTAGTAAATTCTTGTCTTGAGTACTTTAGAAAGTTATGAACTGTATAGAGCTATGATATAATGTTAACCCCCAATATACTTACATGTAGGTTAACCTGTGGTATAATATTCTATAATCTACATACCAGGTGCTAAATGTTGCCACAGAATAGATTCTCTGGACATATTCATTGGTTGGACAATTTGCCTAATGAATAATTCTATTCTTATTTGATTTTCAGTCATGAGTTGAGGGAAGCTGAAATTTACTTGTAGAAACAAGGCCATACTAATTGCCTCAAAATGGCAATATATCACAGACTCATCCTTCTTGGGATTTGCTTATGTATTTCATCAACATCTGTCTCATCGTATAGCGATCCTGTGATCAATCCCAAGCAAATTATGATCGGAGCTGTGCTTAGTTCCCAAGAAAGTGAGGATGTATTTCACCAGGCTGTTAGAGATCTGAATCGGGAACTAGGGGCGCTACCCCAAGGTGTTGTTTTTAATGCCACGTCTTTAGTCATGCAAGAGAATCCAATTCGTGCAGCTCAGTCCACATGTAGCAATTTACTCTCAAAGCAGGTTTATACAGTATTAGCCAGTCATCCGCCAAGTCAGGAGTTGTCACCCATAGCTGTATCGTTCACTTGTGGATATTATATGATTCCTGTAATTGGACTCTCTGCCAGAGAAAGCATCTTTTCTGATAAGGTAATGTAAATACATGCAAACCTATTGATGTTGTCTAAATAACAAGGGGGATATGGAAATTGACAAGAGAGGGTGGTCAAAAACCCATAGTACATGTATTTGGCAATTTTTTTTAAATAATGGCTTTGTAATCAATTTTATAAATAGAGTGAGCCCTAATAAAGACTGTTTTTAGTCCCATGAAAAACCCCAGGGCCTGAGGCCTCACCAGATCCATATACATGTACATGAAATAAGTCTTAGTGCCATAAGATTGAAAGAATGTTCAAAAACAATATTCTTTTTCTCAATAACAATAACTCTCTTCACTATCCTTTGGAGTGTCTGGAGAGTTTTTGTCAGGCATAAGATGAAAATTGTTACTATTTTTCTTTAGTCATGGATATGTCATCAAAGATAATTTTGGCCACTGGCACTTTTCTCAGCTTTGGAAATACCAAAAGTACATTGTTAACAAGGGAGTCAAGGGAGTAGAGAAATGTGCTCAACTTATGAAGCAGGAAAGTCAAATCTTTTACAGGCCCATACTGTAGCTGCTGGGAGGGGGGGGGTCGAGGGTTTGAGTGTTCAAGCGAATTTTGTAAAAGTGAACCCCCCTGCAAAAGCTAGACAGAAATAGAAAATTAACATTTCTAGAAAAGCTTGTTTGTTATCTTCACCTTTGACTAATGTTATTTTTTAAATGTCTTATTTAAATTATGAAGAACATATGAATTGAATTTCAAATTTTCCCAAAGATGCAATCAAAAATGTGATTTTTTCATAATTTCTATGTTCTTGACTGCCTTTTTGGTTATATCAATTCATTAACCATAAATACTTTCCCCAGCAATACTTTAGCAACAAAACTAAGTGTAAAGATGAAATCATACCCTTTAGAATTTCAAGCAATATTAGATGAATTTATATATTCTAATAGACATCCATGAATAAATATACACATAGCTACTAAGTGAAAACAGATAAACATCCTGGTCTGATTTAAGGCTAAAGTAAGTTAGATTGTGTTAAACATTATCCATGAATGCCACATGGACATCTAAAAATATTTTTATTTACTCTAGCCTCAGATAACACATTTATATCATCATTACAGCTGATCAAATAGCAAGTAAGTTGGATCTTGAAATAACATTTCCTAATCCACTTATAATTTGTTCTGCTTCTTGAAAACTGCCCTGTGTGTTTAATGTTCTACAGTCTAATAAAACATGTATATTTCTGGAAACCTGTAGAATTAAAGTTCCACAATTTTTTGGTTTAGCCTTTCAGACATCTTTATTCATTTTTACTAAAAATAAGATTAAAGGTCCATGTGCAGTATGGCAAGTGATTTTAGACAGCCACATGTTTCACCATGAGTATACTTTCTGGTTATAAATACAGTGGTTTTTATTAAAACAATATGTTTTCTTTAAAGTGAAGTCCCCATGATAGTAAAATATCAGTCCAACTCTCTGAAAAATTATGGATAAGAACCCCACCTTGTCACTTTTTAAAAAAATGTAAGGCTTATTTTCTTAAGAGGATCGTGTTTTTCTCAATTTAAATATATCAACATTTTCTTCTACACTATATTAATAACTTCTGAAAAGCGGATGGGTATTGAAATGCGATAAAGTTAAAAACCATATTTCCCATGTTATTTTCCCATAGTGAAAACTCATGCTATCCATTGTTTTCAGCATGCTTTTGGTCATCGAAAATTGATGTCTTCAAAACTAGTCTCTCAATACAGAATACCATTCTACTTTTGAAGATGTTTTAGACCCCTTTTTGAATAATCTTTTCCTGCAATAAAAATTAGAAAAAGAAGATCCTCTTTTGAGCAAATAAGTTCAACATTTTGAAAAATTGTTGACGGTGGGTCCCTATTTATAACTTTCTAATTGTTCGATTGATATTTTTATCATCATGGGGACTTCACTTGAAAGAAAACATATTATTCATGCCCAGAAAGTACTCATTGTGAAAGATATATGACGGTCTAAAATCACTTGCCATACTGCACGTGGACCTTTATAAAGATGAACTGAAGATAAAATATATGGATGCCCTGCATTGTGACTTATAAACTAGATTAAGATTTACAAATTGATTACGATGTTATTGTAGGGAATACATCCATTTTTTATGAGGACGGTCCCACCATTCTCTGAACAGGCAGAGATTTGGGTGAACTTGGTGCGTCATTTTAAATGGAAGAGCGTTATATTCCTCCACACAGCCGATCACGATGGCAGAGCTATTTTGGCAGAATTTCAAAACAGAATGGACTACAAAAATATGAAGGTACTAAACATTGAACTTTTTGATTTTGATATTTAGAATTACCCACGTTTTACATCCTCCAAAAACAAGCTGCTGAATTCGTTTCTCCAATCACATGTAAAGAAGATATCTTGGAGCCCTGCGATTGGATTATGATGATGCTTTAATTCTTGACAATACGGTTCATATTGAAACATGAAAAATCTCTGTAATGTGCAAGCACCCTTGTTGTACATGCATGTCTGAGATAAAGTAAAAATCCCTTTGTGCATGCCTCTGAGATAAATGTTAATGGCATTGTTGAACTTCCACCAACTAATACTCTCTAAGATCATGAATCTAATGTTATTCAGTAGGAGAGCTTGAACTCATTTAAACAACACATAATGTAGTTATTAGCCTCTTGGGGGAAATGGAAATGCTATTAGTATATCTTTGCAAAAACTGCTGAAACAACTTCTCAATACCCTGAGATCAATAAGTTAAAAATCATTATTACCTCTGATTAAGAGAGACAATTTAACAGTTTTGATACTTATCAGATCTTAATGATCCTTAATGTAAGAGTCTGAGCCTTTTATGTAATGGGAGTTCACATAGAATTTATGCCAGCGACATTTTGAAGCGAGAAAGTGCCATGACAACAATTCTTATTTGGAAGCTACCCAAGATCCGACTGGTTAAAGATAAGGTAAAAAACAAGTTTTATTGTAAGAGTATAGGAGAAAACCTGAAAAAGGGTACTGTGATATTAATGTGTCTGCCATATGAAGTGGAAAGGCTTTTGTCACAATATAGCTTATGTGAGAAATATCGAATGGACCGCTTTGACACTTAAGAATATTGCATACATGCGGATTGACTTTTCCTCCAATTTCACATATCACATAAAATATCACTTGCGAGTGTCTTAGCTTCTAAACTAGAAAATCAATAAGTCTTCATATTAATATCCCTGCAGTTCCAAATCTGCATCTAGAATCCAATAGACTACAACTACAGCTTAAAATATTTGCACATCACCAAGTTTCATTGGGAATCTTAGAATCAAGGATCCAAATTGATTTTTGGTGATAAGGACCATTTGTTAGCCTGAGGTCCAGTGCTATTAGTAATTTAAACGACAAATAGGGCAGATATACATGTAGCTTTGATTTTGAAATCTTAATCACCTCTAAAATAGAGTTAGAATATGAAACAAAGTCCCTATCTACAGTTCCTCTCTTATATTTCTTCTCTCTCTAATCATTATATCGTTGTTGTACTTTTACTTTTCCATGAATTAAGTTGGTATTAGAATTGGTTTGAAAATTATTTTCAATTGTCCTTTAATTTTAGATTGAAAAAACCATAGCATTGACTCCAGGTTTGGATAGCTATATGTCTGAGCTGTTGGACACAGATATCATAGAGTTAACTACTAGGGTTATCCTACTATATGCTGAGTAAGTACTGTTTGTAACTTCTTTTGTAACTCATAGTTATTAATTTGGCAGTGAATCATAACAATGAAGGCTTGCAGGAAAAGGAGTTCTTGTCCAATCTGAGCAATTAATTTTACCTTCAGAAATGGACTTTCAGAGGACGCTCAAGAGGACTCAGTGTTCAGATATTTCATAGAGTTTATCATTCTCTGTAAAGAACATTTGAAAACTTGCTTATGTAAATTGAATAAACAAAACCAATAAAAGTAGATAAAAATGTTGAGTTTACTTTATAGAGTTTTCATATGCAATAAACTGATTCATAAATTATTTTGATCTGCCATACTCTTATCCTAGAACTGAAAATATAGAATGTCTGAAGATTTTGTATTTACAATACATGTAGTAAGCCAATTAGGTATGAGATTTTGAGAGTTGCAAATTATGAAGGCAAGTTTTGGAATCTATTCCAATTCTGTTCTGTCCAATGCTAGAATGCAGTAAAGCATAATTAATTTATAATATAAGGTTTTCATTTTATATTTAATCGATTGTTTTCTTCCAAAGGTTTATCATTACCAATTTTGAAATCATATTTCTCATCTACTTTATTGTAGTCGAGAAGATGGCCAGAATATCATACGTGATGCTGTAGCATTGAATCTCACCCAGCCTGGTTATGCTTGGATAGTAACAGAGCAACTTCTCACACTACCAGATGTACCCATAGGTAAATTTTGTAAATAATAGGGAGTTTAAGCTTGTAATGTTTTTCACAACCTTAACGTGAATGGAAAACATTTAAGCGATGCATTTGAATTGACGATTGATCATACGTATAGGTTGGCGTTTCGGTTTTATATGCAATCTTAAACTCCATAATGAACAAATTATCTTATATAGGAGTAACTGAGAATGGTTTTTAGTCAGAGAAAAATCATGTATCTTGAAGAATTGAATGAAATAACCTGTTTCAGTTTAGTCACATATTTCATCACAGGCAACAACAAAAATAATCAATAGTGTCAGGGGCAGAATTTCTCACAACAGACTAAATAAATGAAAACAACAGGCAAAATAAATGGAAATTATAAATTTAACATGGAAAAGTTGAAAAGTCCCTAAAAACAGCAGGCGATTTTGTGAAAACAACCGTTGAAAATTGCCTGTTGCCTGCTGCTTAAAAAGCCCTGAGTGTATAATTTACTTTTTTATTTAGGTTTCCTAGGGGCAAGCCTAGTAGACTGGATGGAAGAAGAAAAACACATTAGAGACAGTCTACAAATAATTGCTAAAGCTTTCCAGTCTATCTACATGAATCCAAAAGTTTCACTAATTGAGGCTCCTACAGATTGTGAGGCTTACCCATGGGTAGAAGAGGATGAGACTGTGCTTGGAGGAGAGTTGGTCTACGAGTAAGTGTTATCAAATAGAATGATGTTCTTATATATCTCATGGATGTTTTTCTGTCTGACTTAATAGCGATCAAATTAAAATCTTTTGTATTTAAATTTTTTTAAATTTTTAGTCCTCCATGAATCAAGGAGATCAGTTCTGTCCATAACATTTCCAAATAAACAATTCCAAGTTTAAATGCACCAAAAATACTTAGACAATTTTAATGCAATCTACACGAATTATGAAAGAGTTGAACAAGTTATGAAATGTTAAGAAAGGATTGATGATCACTACATTTAAATGTCTTATTACACAGATTATGACTGGAAGAAACATTTTAGATTTTAATTGATACATGCATGTTTTTAGATTTATTGATGCATGTTTAAATATATTGATGTATGTATGTTTATGGCACAATAATAACTTTTATTTTTCCTATTTCCAGTGAATTGATAAAGCAAGTCCTTGATTATGGGCAAACTGGAAGCATTAAGTTCTCTAAGGATGGGGATAGAGTTCAACCGCTGTATAACATTGTCAACATCCAGGAAAATGGTCCTGTTGTCATTGGAAAAACCTATGTTAGGGAAATTAGACGCACGGTTAGTAACATCTTTTACTATACCAACAAACTTAGTTCCATTGGGATATTGAATGAAGCCCTCCACCCAGCCAGTCATCAATGTGTTCCCATCTGTCCATCCATCTATTTTGTCATTTCCAGCCAAAGTAATGTGTACTACCATTGTACGTTTGACACTTTTAGAAATATCTATATTATATATCCAAAAAAACAGGAATTTTCTTTAATTTGATATCTCTCTGAAATGTTATAATACTCAAATGAAAGACATCTGTGATTTACTTAGATTGGAAATATTGTCATTGTAAATTTGATCACATATATTGCACCTTTTTTAAATTTAAAAATTTAAAATGCCTTTTTTCTATGTTTTATACTGCAATACTGAAGGGTTATTCACAATATTGTGTTTTTTGTTATTGCAGAAACAATTAACAGTTAACATGGATAACTCGAGTTCAATAAAATGGCCGCCAAATATAGATGATGTACCAAAAGGGATTAAACTGGAAACTCGTCTTAAGGTAAGGACATACATTTGCTTAATACAATAAAGCATGCAAAATGTAACATTTGGTTATGGGGGTGTTAAGGCTAATGTGCTCTATACTATGAATTTTTATATTCCATGATACATGTATTACAATGTAACCTCTTGAAGTGGAAAACCTCAGTTAGAGGAATGCTTTTCAGAGTCGCAAAATCAACTGACATTATGATAAATGAACCTCGAACACCTATCAAGTGGAAGACATTTTAGAGGTACCAAAGGTGTTCCACTAAGAATTGTTTTACTGTACACATATAAAATTACATATAATTTCTGCTTGTGGAACAACGACCGGTTGTTTTAATGCTGGCCATTGATACATTCTTAATGGTTTCCTAGGTTGTGACCATAGCAGAGACACCATTTGTGTATACCAAACCTCTATCTGAAATGGAATCTTGTAATGTGGAGGATGGAAGAGTCCTCTGTCCATTCAAAAATCAAACAACTGGTGAGTTATTGTCTCTGAGGAAAACTCTTCTTTGAAGGTGTACTCCTTCCAAGCCCATCACTCTCTTCATTTGCTTGCCAAAACCTATTATCAATTATTTGTATCTAGTAAAATTATGATAAAATATTTTCGTATGATCAAAATTGAAAATTCACTTTTCATTTCCAGTATGCCGCCATCTTTTTTCAGTTTTTCTTGGATCGTGGAAAATAATCTTGATGAAATTCCTTTCTTTATCTATATAATATATAATATGCTATTATCCTTATCCTTATTATCCTTCTCAGTACCCTTTCAGCTGCTGAATCCATTTACATGTTAACATATTGCCATTTTAGGAAACACAACGGAGATGTGTTGCGAGGGCTACTGCATTGATTTGTTGATCCAACTTGCATTGAACATCAGTTTTACTTTTGATCTCCATCTTGTGTCGGATGGACAATATGGCAGTTATGAACGGGTATGTTAATCTATCGTACTTGACATCCAGAATCGGCCAAAAACATCAATATTTTTTATTTGGTTATGACTTTTTTCAATGATGCATTTATTTTAGAAATATTTTTGGCAAGATGCAGGATTCACGTTTGCAATTATTTTTGAAGTTGAATAATAAATCTTCAGGGTTTTTGAATAGGAAAGGTTAACAGACACCCACTAGGGGTTTTGATGAAAATACACAGTTGTTAAATAATTGTGTTTCAGATAAATGGTTCCAACACTAAGACATGGAATGGTATGGTACAAGAAGTAAAGGAAGGGAAGGCAGACCTCATCATGGCTCCACTAACAATTAACCCAGAGAGAGCTGATCATATCGACTTTTCAAAGCCATTCAAATATCAGGGCTTGAGGATTCTTGTCAAAAAGGTGTGTCTAAATGTTAACTTTGTATGAGAAATAAAATTGTGTTTTATGTTTCTTAAGTAATGTTCCATTTAGATGAATCATGATTGTCAAATTTGTTTTGGATGTAATGTCACCTGGACAATATTCGTTTGGAAATCACAAAATATATCATCAGACAAATTATTATCTCAAAAATAGAAATTTATCAAAGATCATACATTAATTTGTATCAATAGTCTAAAAAAGAATCTTAAATTGTTGTCTCTTGCTTTCAGGAAAATACACAATCTGGTCTTGGTTCATTCCTGCAACCTTTCAAAAACACACTTTGGATCTTGGTGGCACTCTCAGTCCATGTGGTAGCACTAGTGCTCTATTTACTCGACAGATTTAGTCCATTTGGCCGATTTAAGCTGGCAAAGTCTGATGATACTGAAGAGGATGCATTGAATCTTTCCAGCGCCCTCTGGTTTGCTTGGGGGGTGCTGCTTAACAGTGGCATTGGGGAAGGTATTTATATATTTTACTTTTGTTTAAAATTCCTCCTGAAGAACCACTCATGATTTGTTGAACTAAATTTAACTTTTTCTCTGGACAAAATATTTGTATATATTTAATATAAATGTTTTAGGAAATAATATTTTTAATTTTAATATAATTTGTTATTTATTCTTATCTACCAAATTTTGCAATGTTATGCAACAGTCCTATTATTGTGAGAATTACATGTATTTACAAAAAAAATTAACAGTCACATTTAAATCCATGAATATTTCAAAATAATGTGAAATTTATTTTAGAAAATAAACATGGAAAGAAATATTTGAAAGTGATTCTGAAATGATCACATCATATGCAATTATTGCTGTCTTGGGCTCTGATTCTAACTTTCAATGTTTTTAGGTACCCCAAGGAGCTTCAGTGCTCGGGTAGTAGGGATGGTGTGGGCAGGATTCGCTATGATCATTGTGGCCTCTTACACTGCTAACTTGGCTGCTTTCCTGGTGCTTGACAGACCCAAGGCTTCTATATCTGGGATTGATGATGCCAGGGTAAGTGTCACAATTAAATTGGTTCCACATTACAAAATAAGATGAAAATATTTTTGGGAGGTTTCAGTACAACTTTATTAAATATTCTGATTTTAAACTATGTATTCTTCCATAATGTGTAAATATCGAATATTCTGATTTTAAACTATGTATTCTTCCATAATGTGTAAATGCCCACATATAAATGTGAAAAATATTCATCTGAGTTCATTAATGATGGTACACTTGTCACTTATACCCTAATTGAAAGAACACATGTAAATGTTATCAAACATAGCAAGTGGGAACATAAAATTGTTAAATTGTCATCCATGACCGACTCCATCTCATTAAACCTTAATCTTAACATCTATATCAAGATCAAGCAGTGTTAAACTCAGATTTGTACCTATATACAGGGTATGTTTTTATAAAATGTGGTATTTCTCCATTTCAGCTTCGCAATCCCCAAGACAAATACACATATGCTACAGTGAAAAACAGTGCAGTGTCAATGTACTTCAAACGCCAAGTGGAACTCTCTACCATGTATCGGACAATGGAGAAAAGGAACTACAACAACCCCGAAGAAGCTATTCAAGATGTGAAAGAGTAAAAAGATACATTTTATATTTCTGTCTTTAATATTATAGATTTGTACTTGATTAAATGTTTAAATTTTACAAAACCCAAACACTGTATTGTGATTTCAAAATCAGATCCATGTTTAAAATGACTGTTCAAATGTAACTGGCAAATTTGGGTTATAACTAATGTTTTAGCCACATTCTTGGAAAGTTTCATTTTTATATCAGGGGTTAGACCCTTAGCTTTTATATTAAGTCGCATATTACATAGTTAGACCTCAGTTTTTAACATCAATGATTCATCATTTAATTTTAAAGTATTATATTCCAGTGGTGTCTTGTCAGCATTTATATGGGACTCTTCAAGGCTTGAGTTTGAGGCAGAGCAATATTGCGATCTGCTAACAGCAGGGGAGATGTTTGGAAGATCAGGCTATGCTGTAGGGCTCCCCAAAGACAGTCCTTGGACCAGTGATATCTCCCTCAAGATTCTTGCCTTTCATGAAAGTAAGATCAAGATGTTTTGATAAATTATACATTAATATATCATGTCAGATTGCAAGTTTCTACCATTGGTATGTTTAAGCAATGTAATATTAAGGCAGTTATTATGGTCCTTATTATAGACCATATTTTTTATTTTGCATAGTTGTTTTATTCATCAATTATATCAATGTTCACTGTACAGGCAACTGACACCCATACAAGTGTATATAGTTACATATGATTATCCCACCGAACGAAGTTCGAGGGGGATATAGAGAAGCTGTCCATCCGTCCGTTCGTCGGGGCGATAACTCCAATACCGGTTGACAGATTTGGTTCAAATTTTATAGGCTTATGCCTTATGAGTGTAGGACCTCTGCTCGAGAAGGAATTTTCAATATGGCCGCTCAATTCAAAATGGCTGCCATTTTTTGTAAAAAATGTAATAGTTGATAACTCATATACAAGTTGACGGATTTGTTCAAATTTTATATGGAGTTTCGCACAAAAAGAGATTTTCAAGATGGCCACTTATATGATATGCTTAGGGACAAAGTAGCTATATTCGACAAAAACTTTTCAAGATGGTCGCTTAATTTCAAAATGGCGGCAATTTTTCGTAAAAAAATGTAATCTTTGATAACCAGTGAACAGATTTGGTTGAAATTTTATATGATAATGCCTAGGGACACAGTAGCTCTGTTCAAGAAATAATTTTCAAGATGGCGGCTGAATTTCAAGATGGCAGATAATTTTTGTAAAAAATGTAATCTTTGATAACTCATATACCAGTGAACGGATTTGGTTCAAATTTTATATGATGATGCCTAGTTCACAATGGTATAAACTAACTTTGTGCCAAATTTCATGCTTCTATCACAAAGTGCACAAACATTTCAACATTTACACTAGCTATGATAAGCATAATATGTTTTGTTCGGTGGGATTTGCTACTCCGTGGAGTTGCTGTTTTTCTAGTTATATTACATAATTGTATTAATCAAGATGACAAGATATATAAAACTATTTTATCAATTCCAGTTATAAAACCAGTTAATTAGTGATCTTACAATAATGTCACTTTGTGATGTTTACTTTAATATCTCAAGACTTTATCATTTAAATCGTACCTAAAAGACATCTCACTATTCTTATCAGCATCGTCAGGTATACAAATATAATAATGTCATCTAATGGTAACATTGTTTACATACCATTATTTTTCATGTTACTTCAGAGGGCTATATGGAAGAACTTGATGGTAAATGGATCTTGTTTAAAGGCCAGGACTGTGAAGAGAGTAATTCTGCCCCAGCCACTCTGGGACTCACTAACATGGCAGGTAAACTGGAACCTTACTTGTAATTTGGTGACATTTTGCTTGTCCTTGTTTATTTGTTTATTGTGCATTCTCATTTTCCCCTCAATTTCATTTTTCACTCATTGCATGTATAACTATAAAGAGTTTTTCAAACCATTTTAAAAATATATTGCATTTATTCTACAGGTGTGTTCCTTATGGTAGCAGGGGGTATAGTAACAGGGGTTCTTGTCATTTTTGTTGAGATTGCCTACAAACGCCACCGAGGGATGAGAGAGAAGGAAATGGAGCTAGCAAGGCATGCAGCAGATAGATGGCGCAGTAATATTGAGGTATTGCATAATATTTTAATATAATATCTTTTACTTTTGATACAAGACCCATACATTGACCAATCAGCCGACCTTTGTCCTTAAAGTGACCTTGGACTGGGACGACTCGACCCAGCAGAATGGCAAAACTTAAGAAATAACTCCATGTATTTTTTTTTTTTGGACCTTGATCGATATACCACATATCGACCTTTCATGACCTTGAAATACTGTTGCCAAATAAATATCAAGGTGGTGAGTTACAATGAGGATGATGTGAAATGGATATTTGATAAATAGTCTTTTGAATATTTTCACCGTTATATGTTTCCTTTGAATAAATTTTTATATTGCATATTTCTAGTTGTAAAATACTTTTGTTTAAAATTATAATAGTTAATATTGTACAGTAAAATGTATGCATGATATTTGGTACAAATATATTATAGATTCCCAGACAGAATATTATTGTGTATGTTAAATGTATCCCTAGATGACATACTAATATTTTTTGATACTTCACATGATCAATTTTGTGTAGCAATACTAACATCCATCCATGCTATGTTCTCATGTGCTTAATAGTAACATACATGTTCTATTGTACTAACAATCTCTAATATTGAGTGTGATAAAAAATATGCAAAACTGCCTGTACTTTCTTTAACATGTAGTTAGGTAGTGAGATAATCTTAGAGAGATGGTTAAATACCTCACATAATACTAAAATATTGAATGTAAAGTTATGGCCAAATTTACTTATGTCTCATAACTTAACTTGGAATGGCAGTTGTATAGTGTTGCACTAACAAACTGGCAGTTGTATAGTGTTGCACTAACAAACTGGCAGTTGTATAGTGTTGCACTAACAAACTGGCAGTTGTGTAGTGTTGCACTTACAAACTGGCAGTTGTGTAGTGTTGCACTAACAAACTGGCAGTTGTGTAGTGTTGCACTAACAAACTGGCAGTTGTGTAGTGTTGCACTAACAAACTGGCAGTTGTATAGTGTTGCACTAACAAACTGGCAGTTGTGTAGTGTTGCACTAACAAACTGGCAGTTGTGTAGTGTTGCACTAACAAACTAACTTACATGCATATTATGTGTTTTGTCTTGACTGCAGATTCACGTAAGTGTGTGAACAGAGATACCTTCAGGGTTAAGCTTTGTATCATAGTTGGGGGCTGTAGCAAATAAACTACTTTACTTTGTAGTTTAAGTACTGTAGGGGTGGTATACATGTTGTGTATGGCAGACAGTGACGAAATAGTTTTTGCTTTAATAGCTCAAGGTTTAACTTTGTTGTAGTTTGGGCTGTGGCTGTGGTTTTTACTTCTCTATATTCATATAATCGACTACTTGCTTCATAGTCATGGACCCATTGGCTTTGTAGTCTAAATAAACTAGGATATATGGCAGAGATTCGCCAACTATTTTTGAATTAAGCTGCTCAATCTTTAGCTTTGTGTCATCATTTATTGTATTACAGACGCTGACAGATGCTCTATTTTCATATAATGACTAAATAAACTCAATGGTTTTGTAGTCTTAGTACATGTAGATTAGGGTATATGAGAGAGATTGGCCAAATGTTTGTTATTCATTGCCAGGAGCTCAACATCCTTACTTGTGTGCTAATTAGCTTTAACATTATCTTTGTAGATTTTTGGCTTAATATAGATAAGGTTTTATATTTCTTGGGGTCAGGGATATACCCCAGTTGCATGTTGGCTTCATAGTGTTTGTATTGATAAGAATTAGGTGGGGTTATGGCAATAATGCTTATTATATATTTCTCTTCCAGTGGCTTGATAAAACCATTTCATGTATACTGTAGTTCTAGGTATGGGGCATGAATCAATTCCTTGCATTGGCTTTGAACTCATATATTCTCTATTTTTAAACCCAAATGATTTGAATGTGTCTTTCTATGTAGTCAATGTGGATAAGTAAAGGAGTAATTGCCCAGCGATCTAAGTTGAGATTAAGGGACAAAGAGAAGCTGTTGATGTAGAAATGTGTTTACAATTTTGATGGATGATTTGATGAAATATGTTGTGTTTGGTGCGATTAACTACTCCAGAAGTTAGTTTTTTCTAGTAAGGCTGGGCTCAACTCTCTAAGGACATAGAGTGAGCCTATGTTGACTTTTATGACCTATATGTAGTTATAAATCTTGTATAAGTATAAAGATGGCAGCACCTTTTCTTAATTCTTATGTTACCAAGATAATGTCAAAAGAGTAGAGTATTGGTAGAAAGATATGGCTCAGCCTGTATACTTATCATTTTTAAGTTGATTTTTGGCTTTTTTTCATCCCCTGGTCACATAAGATCATAATTACAGTTGTCACATTATGCAATTGTGACACCATGGTATAATATGTGCAACCATAATAACATATTACAGCTTTATTTAACAAAGATCTAAAAATAAGTAAATAACAATATTGTAACATCATGATAAAGCTGTAACACCATAACACAGCATTCTAGTGTCAGTAACCCAGACCTAGGTTTAAAAGCATGGTGAGTTGATGCATTGATTTTATTACCTAACTAATGAAGCTTGATATAAAAACGCCTGCAACACATAGACATTTTGCTTTGCAGACTAACAGTAAGTACTGAGACTAATAATCATTTACCAGGTTTATTCTTGGAGCAATATTTTATTCACAAAACATTTCAGAAACGCAAGAAGAGACGACAGGAATTTATCCCAGCTATAATCACCATACAGAGTTCACAAAATGGTATAGTACATATTAAGCTAGTAAGATTGGTCTAACAACATAATAGATCTTCATGAATAATGATTTCCTGATTTGCTTTATCCCACTGACTATTTCCATGTCACCACCAGAAGTGCAGACATATTGTTACTGTCTCCAACTTTTTGTGGATGGGGGTTTGGCATTCAGCATCTGTAACAAATTCTTTCAACATCTGTAACAAATGGGTGGTGACATTTTGCATGTTAAAGCCTTGTTTTGTATAGCAATGGATGCTATACACCAAAAAGTTATGGAAATAATACATAAGAAATTGCTCCATCAGTCAGGTGGTAGATTACATAGGGTCTATCCATGCTTATCTGAGTAAGGATCACAAGGTATGTTTGTGTTTATGTGCATCGTGATCCAATATTATTCTTCCCTTCACTCCCAGCCCCATTGGTGAAAGTAGGCATGGTACTGAAGAAGAAGTATAGGTTGAAAATATGGGTCAAAAGTTTCGAAAATTAGTCATTTTCAAAAACATGGCCCACCTTTATTCCTGCATGGAAAGTGATTTTCAAATTCTCCCCCTCACTCTTGGATGACTCTTAGGATGTTTGTAGAGAAGGAGGTTACCTAACCAAACTACATGGTGTATTCAATTTTGTAGAGACTTTAATACTGTTCAGTTAGTGCTCCACTCTGTGTGGTTAACTAATATTTGTAAGATACTTTGACTACTAGTTGCTTAAAAATGGCAGTTATTTCCAGAATACCTTGTGGATGAATCATATACTGTTTGAAAGCTTATATACTCAAGTATGGAACCAGGGTTAAATAAGGCTTCAAAGTTGTACTTTTTTAGAAACATTATTGTAGCAGATGCTGCGGATATAAACATGATATTCACATTTTCATTCATGTATCTGTCAGTTTCTTTCCAAATTTAATTTAGTTTGCATTATTTTAGAGCTAATCCATCAGGGATTTGGCCAATAACTCAATATGCAACTTAATTCATTTATCGCATCTATTAGGGAAGCCGGGGGTGTCAGAATGGTTTTACGAAAAAGATTGACCACCGACCTGTCACTCTCCAAAGTTGGGTACACGTGGTCAGTAGGTGGCTGTCGGTCTTTTACATAAAGATGAATAGAGCAAAATTAGAAGAGTAACTATGATAAAAACTAGGAATCCTATGACTATAGTACCTTTACAAGATCGTGATTAAAATGTTTTAATCATTTTAAATCACAATGAAGAATGCACATGAAAAATGTAACATCATCATCTTGAGATAAAACTTTTTGAATGATAATACTAGCTTTCATAAATAGAGCCAAGTATAACAGCTTGCAAGTTTTTCTGAAATAATGGTATTTCAATATCACTGATGCCATGGTAACCAAAATCTACAACATTTGAAAGTACACTATTTTATTCTTTTGATGTTGCTTTGGCAACTATTTCACATTAAAACCAAACTGATCTGTGCTGAACTTATGCCCTCCGATTCAGGGATTTGTTGTCTCATCACAAACCTTTATAAATTGACAGCTTTTGTTATGGTATTTTCTCTTTTAACACTTTTTATCCTTGAGTTAATTCCAATAGTTCACAAAAGTATACAAACAATTCATTGCCAAAATTTCATAAAAACATTAGCGCCAGCACTTTTTGATACTCATAGCAATTTTTAATATCCGCTTTAATATATGTCAGTCTTTAAACTAACAACACATGTACTTTGTTTTGTATATTTTTTATTGCTCATTAAAGATAAGGCCCGTTTCCATGGCAGTATATTTTGTTGCTGTTAATTGTAAAAGATCAGAAAGTTTCAATTTTGATTAATTTGTACCAAATGGAAATTTAAATTTACATCAAAAGCCTCTATATCGTTCTTAACATTCATGGAAACTTTTTTGCCATTAAAACAAATTCAGTTTTTCTATTGAAAGATAAATATTTTGACTCAGTGAACTAATATAAGCTAATATCACATTCAAACATCTCTAGATGATCCATTTGAGAATGCTTAGATCTTATCAGTGTAGCAAATGCGATTCAGGATGGATTTACATGTACAGTTACTTATTGCAGTAATCGGGTATGTCAAATATGCTGAAATCTTTGATTCCCTCTATGAAGTTGGATGTTGTTGTTGTCATTAATATGCCACATTCCAATTGAGAAGAACTGAGTTCACCAGCCATAATGCTTGTTACTGGAATACAGGTATCTGTCATTGTGAAAAGTTTCCCCACTTGGTATGTTTTACCTTTAAATGAAGCTTTCCACGAGTTCACCTTTAAGCTCTTACCAAGTATTTCTTCTCCCAGAAATTCAGCATCATCCGGAATACAGCGTTCTGGTTTAGGGTAGACCGTTGGCATAACATTACAGGTCTTTTTTTCATTGTTTATTCCATAACGTTTGTTAGCCTTGAAATCTTGGATGATGGTAATTACTTGAGGACCTCCATTTAAGACGTTAATGCGGAGGGCAGTTTTTTCATCTTTCCCATCAAACCACATATGACCTCCTATGATTGTTTTCTGCTCTGTGGGATGGCGATGCCTGAATTCGAATACTTGAACCTGGGTGATATTGGCATGCCATTGATACGGTGTACAGCATTTTGGTGGAGGATTTTCATAAAGGACTAAATTCTCATTTCGATGATTTCTTGGGACTGCAGAAGTACATGTTGCAAGGATCAGGCCAAGCAGAACAAACATCATCAAGTCCATCACTGTCAGAATAAAAAGAGTTCAGAATAAACTGTATAGTGGGTGCATAAATGTATTAACTATGCAATGTGTATAGAATAAATTATAGGTATGGCAAAAAAGTGGGACACTCACATATATATTTTAAGAGCAGATATGAACCAAATGCCATGAGAATTAGGGAGTATAATGTATTATGAATATTTCTGGTCATGCACGTAAAATTTTAATTCAAACAATGCAATTAAGTCTTCATTATTTTTTTCTTCTAGCAAGAAATGTGCCACATAAAAAACAGCTTTTGAAATTGCAGAATCTTTCCTCAATTTTAGGTACCATTCTTTATTATTTCTCCTTATTTTTTTGCCAAAATATCTATGTTATTTGTATTTGCTAAGAATAAAATGGTAACATACATTATGACTTTTTATTGTAAAAAATAATGTTTAATGGGCATCTTGTATGAATTGTTCCAAAAAATTGACAATCAGCATTTCTATGCAAGAATGGAACTATGTTATGATAATAGGTTAATTACGCATTTTAAATCAATATCCAATAGTCTTTAGTGGAAATAATGAAGATCAAATCGGGGACTCTCTCTGGGAAAAAAATCCTTCAATTTGGCGGGGGGTTCTTTTGTGAATTTTTGCATACTGCGAATATAATGTGTAGCAAATTGACCTGGGGTGGCACTCTCGCGAATAATGCATGTAGCAGATATTAAGTGTTTTACAGTATCAACAACAGAATGGAAGCAAAAGTTTCAGAAGGCATACATAATGGACATTAATGAATTTTATGAGATAGATAGCTATTATCACAGATAGAGGCTGACAAATGAGACATCCTTTTTATGAATTACTTCATTTTTAGATTGTAAAATCTGTGTTTATGAATCACATTCACAAAAACTGACACAATTACTACAACATTGAAGATAAGTCACGTAATATTATATCTTAATATATATATTAAAGCTAAATGAATTCCCCATCTTTTGGTATATAACACATGGTTTATCTGTGTGATCTTACATACTACTAAGAATGATACAAAGTGTCCCATTTTTATTGCCTACCCTTTATGGTGCATAACCTCATGTGTAAATGAATTGGAAATATATTACATATGTAAATGCAGAATAAACTATATAGCGTAAGTCTTAAAGGTGCAAGACCCTCACTCTGCAGGTATTGAAAATACAATGTATATACATGTAGAATATTATTCAGGACATAACTTCATGGAAATACAATGTATATAGTGTATGTGTATGTATAAATGTAATCCCAGGTATTTGTAAAATTGTTAACGCTTTTGATACTTACAGAGATGATAAAACATTCATTTCCACTTTTATTAGCACCCTAATGTGAAATAATTTATCAATTTATGTATATTACTAATATGGATTAGCAAAGAAAGGTTAATATTTGATGAAATCTTACCAATTCAGATTATTCAAACATCATAGAATTCTTTTGTATTGAAAAATTACAAAATCTTACCGGATATTTTCTGTGATCGGATATGAATTATCTATAACTTTCTTGTTGTAGATCTTATTACTCTGGCTATATTCATGTATACATCTGAGTTATTTTATAATTCAGCATCTTATATAGTTCTAACATTTGAATTATATATCAACCCTCACATGATAGGTTGAAATTATGAGGCAATGTATAAATGACAATTAATGACAATTTGAGACTTTGACTGATCTGGAGTAAATTTTTCTATGGCACTCTATCATATTTTCCTCTTTCCCTTTTTTTGATTTGCTTCCTTGAAAATTATTGCTCAGAGTATCTGAAGTATTCTTCATATTCCCTTAATTGATAGAAAAGAACTTTCTTTCCCTTTTTTGATTTGCTTCCTTGAAAATTATTGCTCAGAGTATCTGAAGTATTCTTCATATTCCCTTAATTGATAGAAAAGAACTTTTGTTTGATTTAACTTTTTTAGTTTTTTTAGTGAAAAATAATATTTGTATAAGAGCTAAAGGAGGTTTTCAGATGGGATGCAGTTTGGCTGTTTCCTCTATTGAAATACCATTCATTTTGATATGCGGGAAGCTTCAACTTGTTGAGCATCTTTATGAGACATTAATGGGGGTCCAAAATGTATTAGAAATATATTTTAATTTTTTATTACAACTTTGTGATGCTCAAGGATCAAAATGAGCTTTGTTTTCCCTGATGTTGAAGTAGCACCTCATAAATTAGAAGATACAATTGGTCAGAAAGCACTCAAACTTACTTTAGACTGCTAAAATTCCTATGTTCTATCTTCCACACAATTAAGATATGCAATAACTAATGAATCAGTAGCTGTGAATATTATTGTTGAATGGAAAAATGCTTTATGCACTGCTTATAATATATTTTGGGTTGTGGACAATGACGACCCTGTTTGCTTCAATCAATGAGTTACCCTTACATAATTCACGGGCCTTCAATAGATATATATACTGACTGTATATATTGAGAATTTGAATTTTTTTTCCATCGAGCTCATGCAAATGAAATGTTTGCTGAAATTTTGCACATTAAAGTGGTGATCAAAACCACTGAAAATATTCTACTTACACCACAGAACAACACCTAAGTCGCTTTAACTGCAAGACTAGTGATATTACCCCACAAAACACGATTTAACAAGATTATTTGTCTGTATTCCTTGAAGGATTAGCTTTCAAATGGTGCAAACCAAATTAAAAAGAAAGAAACAGAAAGATTAATGGGCCAAAAGGTCAATATCATGTTTATATCCCAGCTAGTAACAAGCACCTGAAGTATTTTAATTAACCTTGGTTCCCCATACACTTGAGTATTTAAGCTTTTCATTGGTATTTAATTTATACATGTACATAAAGTATTTTAAGAATTTTTTGGCCTCCTTGCTACAGGTCTAACATGCTATGTCATTAATTGTAAAAAGACAGGTCCAAAGATTGGTAATTTATACATGATTATAAAAGGATGATTTAATGCTTTTACTTTTTATTATTAAGGTTATTTTAAATATGATGCACAGTGTTTGCATTTTCCTTTTTAGTTCTCTTGTCAGTTAGTATATATATCATATTAACTAATGTTTATCTAGGATAGAGAAAAATATAGGAAAGTTGTGTCTTTTACATCTGGCATACTCAGTATGCTGTTTGTTAATCTTTGTAATGTTATGTAACATAATGTTATGTTACATTTGTATATGTTGTGCTATGTTGCAGATTAAAGTACATGATTGTACAGAACAGTGTTCTACATTAGAACATTGTGATATGTTTGAATTTCATGTTATCCTTGGTTGTCATCAAAAGATTTGTCCAGCTTGGGGGAGCATGCTATTTTTCATAAAACACTGAGAAAAACTTCACAAATTATTTTTAACTCATATGTTTCTTTATACCATGAAAATTAACTACTCTATGCAATGGATATATCATTTGCTGTTTGAAGTCCACTAATGGTGGGAGTATAAGCTATCTAAAATTAAATAATGTTTATTTTTTCTGTCCAGCTTGGGGGAGAATGCAGTTTAAAATGTGAAATACAAAACTGCTCCCCCAAGCTGGTCAAAAACATTATTTTTTATAAAAAAAATCATAAATGCCCAATACATCTAGATTTCATTTATACTTTCAGAGTTATGATGAAAACATATACAGTGTAGATAAATATTATCATGTAACTATATTGTGCCATTAAAAAAGAAATTGTACATGATATGAGTAGGATCCTCTGGCGCCATTTTCAATAGCTTTCTCCTAGCATTATAAGACTTCAGACAGAAGTGAAGGTTATCCTCAAATGATATATATCTGATTTTCGACACCGTTTTGGTGTCAAATTTCAAATGGACTGACTAGTCAGGTGGCAAATTTTGAAAGGTTTCAATGACAGTGCTGGAACAGTGACGAAATCTGCATATTGTGTTAAATATGTTTTGATAAGTGAAACAACTGTACATTTCATGATTTGTGTGTTTCAGAAACGGCGTACGCTTCGTCGTACCCTTCTGGCCCAACAACAGGAGCTGGAGATTATCAAGCCTAATGGACTCACAGATATAAAGGTAAATAAACTAATTCATATAGGCAATTCCTAAATACATCTGTAAAACCATAATAGAGCTGTAACTGTAACACTAATGATGTAACACCAGTCTAAGCTAAAAGAAACAAAAAACACATTTTTGAAAGTAAAAAATGTCTCATCTCTCAAACTCAAATATATTTCATGAAATATGATTTGATATGTGAACATTTCAGATATGCGAGATGCTTATATAAATTCATTAATCCTGAAAAGAAATCTCTTTCACTTTGAACTACATGTTTGTGAAAACATTGGCTTGTCCCAATAATGTTGAATTAAAGTCTCCTCTCATCAAATCCTGAATAATACAGAAGTTGATAAAGGATTCAAGCAAAGTGCAGAATATATTGTGCCAAAGAAAGTCTGCATCTTAAAATAAAATCATTTCATATGTTTTTCTTCAATTAGCACAGCATGGTGTTTGTTGTGGTTTTTCAGCAAAGAACAATTTTTGAGATATTAAACAGTATGATACAGTGACACACATTAAAGTTAAATGAAATTCTGTATTCCACAGATATTTCAACATCATCAAATATTACTTAATGTAATAACTTAACAACTTTACTATTTATGCGCTGTTCACTGTTTTTGTTCCGTTCACTATGTATTTACCTTTCACTTAGCCTTTTTAATTATTTCAGGTGTCACCAACATCCATGCGCAACCCAAACACAACCAACCCAGAGATTGTACCTGTTACTTCAGGATCCTCTAGTTTCCATGGCAACCTACCTGTTGTTGCTACGGTAACACGCCACAACCCAACTTACCAATCTGGGGAAGCTGAGGACCAGTTGTAACCTGACACTAGTGTTGTCTTCAGAAAATTGAGAAAAAGAATTTCTAAAGAAACACATAAGTGCAAATGCGCATGAGAGAAATTATAATGGAGCTTGAGACAATATGGACTGTCTGCTTCGTGTATTGACTTGTTAAAAAATGGATGAGAATCTAAAACATCTAATGGGTTGGGTCTTTGTTACCCAACAAAAAATAACCTGTACAGTATTTAAAAACTCATGATGTAATATTATTATTGTATTTGCTATTATTCTGTATCATTTATTTATTTATTTATTAACCATTGAAGTTGTAAATATGAAATATTTATAAAATGCAATTTATAACATTTTATGGAGATCGAGTTGAGTGCAATCTAGTCGAGTGCAATACAAATGTACATAATTTACGATATATGTCTGTAGATTTAGATGTTGTTCAATCCTCCCCATATTTACTAATGTTTTACAATATTTCACATGAAGGTAAGACTCACAACCATCTACTTTTATTAAATCAAAGAGGGAAATTTTTTAAATTGTTGATAAATAAAATAAATACGGGAATAATGTTCAACACTTGAAATTAGATAATGACAACAGAAAATCAAGTACAATTTGATTTATTCAATATCAATTTAATTGGCAACCAAAAAGCTCCAATAAGGAAATATGTCAAACTATAAATACATAAAACAAACCTTTCCTTATGTCAGTGTCAGCTACAATGAATCTTCCTCCTTCTATTTGTACCATACATTGTTTAGAAAATGTTTCACGTGGTTCTTAGATGTTTAAAATGTGCTTTGATTTTATAGCACTGTAGTTTATGAATGATCAATGTTGTATGTTTCTAAATTGATGTAATTGTGCAATCTTCTGGTAGAAGTGCAATGAGTGAAGATCTAGTCAAGAATCTTGGGTTGAGTGTAGTTAGTGGGAAATATTTAAAGCTATAGGGGTCCCAATGCGTGTGAGTTTCAACATGTAAAACAAAACATTTGTGTAGCTTTGCTTTAACTGTTGATTAAATATAAAAGATATGTGTGAATTTATATAAGGAAATGTATCCTTCTCATTTGTGGATTAGAAATTAAATCACACAAATAATGAAAACAAGGAAAAAATATTAAAACAGTACAGAATTCTTGTTTTATAATGGTGATTTAGATTTCAAGAAACTATTTCTTGAAATGTATGCATGTTTGTATGTACTTTGTTATCTGGTGTGTTGTTTCGAACTATTCCATATAATATATTACAGGGTGTAGTATATATTAATTGCAGTTTTGCATTACAGTTATTTAATAGTTTTTGTTATTTTGTGAAAAATATGTACTCATCAGTAAGTTACCATATTGTACCATATATTGTGTAAGTTAACTAATATCCATTAATTGGTATTATTGGAGATATTTGAAGTTCCATATGCTTGGTGGTATTTACGGGAGAGTTAAGTGCAATGCAATTTTTCCAATACTTTCAAAAAAGTGCACATGATGTGTAATTTAAAGGTGCAACAATTAGTGCAGAGGGGCCATTCAACGATCATGGACCAGTGCCAAAATATATTTAAGTTTGGATATTTCATCAAGACTAACATCTATTTTTATTATCTACAAAGAAACCCCCTAGATAAACATTATTTCAGCTGATATTCCTCTTGAAACATGGTGGATCTTAAAAATATAAAAGTGGATTTCCCCTTTTTCAAGCTTTGAACTGAATTTACACTTCTTAAGGCTGAAATTGATAGTTTATCCATACATTTTAAGAAAATAGGTATGTCAAAGAAGATGTTAAGCCAAATGTTGCCTTGATAGCTCAGAATTTTTTTTGATTTTCCTATTTTCTCCCTACAGGCCTTGTTGCCCCTTTAAGTTAAAGTCTACAATTTGGTCCAAACTTTATAGTTAACTGTAATCCTCTCATGGAAATGAACAGTGATTCTGTAATTATATATCAGATTTATGAACCTTACAATATATTCGAAAACCTAAGGAGATCAATATTCATTTTAATATGTACATGTATATAGTATTTATTGTGCTATTTATTCATTTTATGTATTTATCTAATTTATTTATATGGCTATTTGTCAAGTATTTATCTTGTTGTTTTATATTCCTCTTTTTTATTTATTTATTAAATGTGTTGTCATCCTGTGTTGAAGATGTCTCTCTGATTATTTACTTGGAAATATCTTCAAAAATAAGTTACCAAATGAAGATGTCATTGGTTTTTTATTTACTCTTTTTACTGATTATTTTGTATGTGAGTATCTAAAGACAATTGACGTTACACTTAATATGTTTATAATCTGGTATGTTTGAATGAAAGAAATGTATTTCATTGTCTAGCTCCTCTCCACTCATTTTTCCATTGATAGGAAATGGAGAATAACAGATGCTTAAGGAAAGTGAATTTCTATATTATTAAGCAAAATGATATCATATTTGTTTGCTATGCTTTATGAACTTATTGCAAAATTTGTTGAATAAAGTTGTTGTTTGTGGATGTCGTATAAATTATTCACTTGTTTGCCCCATGATTTACACATACATACCATGGGTATAGCCAGGCATGAGGCCGGGGACACGACAACCTCACCTTTTTGCAGAAAAATAATTCAGACTTTTTTCAATTGCAACTGTGAAAATAAGTTCTTAGGAAAATATTATTTCCCATATAACTCAAATTCACCAATTTGAATTTGCCCTTCCAATTTGAATTCATCCAAGCAATTTGATTTTGCCCTTCCAGTTTTAATTTGCCTCAACCATTTGAATTTTGCCTCACCTATTTTGGATCCTGGCTACCCCTAGATGCTCATGTAGAACCTGAAGATAAGGTACCTTGAAACTACTTTTCGATTAATGCAACCAGATTTCACTCTGAGAAATTCCAAAATGTGGATGTTGCACCTTTTTAAGGTTAGTTTATTTCATTTCAATCACATTTATGAACTAAACCAAAATACATATATATTTCAAAACAATGCGAATGAAATACAGGCCGAGGTCATAAGACATTCATTCATAAAATTACTATCATTAATGAAATAGACTGACCAAAAGACATTGCATTTTTTTATTTACTTATCCAGCAGTATATGTTCCTTACTGGACTAGATTGAGTATAGATTTACAAAAACTATTACTGTAACTGGAGTTTATAGTATCATTAGGGAATCATCCAAGATAGTGGATATGGATTACTTGTTCTAATTGGTTTACATTAATTAGGAAGATTCTGACAAAATATAAATACAAGAATATTAACAACCAAATACCTTTGTTACACCCAGTAGACATGATAGATATAATATTTGAGAGGCATTTGGTTATTATTAAAAATATGTAAGCAAACAAAAGAGAGATGGCAGTATCATCTTTCACCAGTGCACTGACATGATGAGATTCTCCTATTATTGCTCTAATATAAGAAACCATAAATATCATTGAGGTTACAATAGATAATTGAAGCAAAATATTATCAAAATAAGATTATCAACAAAATTGATTTAAATTCAAACAGTTTGTTATTGAAATATATTACTTTAATGGTATTTTGATTATGCTAGAAATAATTCAGGTATTAAAATAGTACAAAGTGCCTCATGTAGTTGGACTAGATAATTCATACTCTTTCTCCTTAAGTCGGTTTGATGGACGGTCACATTAAATGGATGTGACGGACAACTATTTGGAGGGCAATGGCATTGTATACAGAATGCCTCGCCTAAAATTAATTAAATATAAATGTTCCCATTTCCCTGGTTAGTTTGACTCACTCAATAAAATTTGATATTGCAGTGGGTATTTGTAAATCATTGAAGAGAGCTTGTGCACTTTCAAGATTCAAGTAAACTGTTTGTGTAATTATCCCAATTAATCAGATTTGATAGGAATATAGTGAAACCCTCCATCTGTCTATATTTATACAGTATATTGCAAGGTGATCCGCTGTCCATTTGGAGCATAACTTGAGACCAATTTTCTTAATATTTGGTTGAACGTATAAAAGGCAAGTAGTGTTCAGAAAAAATAATGATTTCAAAATGGTCATTACAAAAATGGAGAGAATTAATGCAAAAAGTCTTGACCTTGCTGAATAAATGGTGTTATTATATTAGGTCACAAGAAGAAGATTCTTTGTTTCGCGTCCCAGTCAAAAGAAATCAAAAGAACAAACACATCAATAAACACTATCAATAAAATTAAGATAATTTGATTGTTGGTCAGACATATGCAAAAATATTATCCATCGAAAAGTTCAAACAGCGAAAATTGTATTGATGGAAAATCTTGCTGTGAATGACTTAAAGCCTCTAGCTAGACGTACTATAATGTTTCAGAAATGATATATAAATAATGATAGGCCATTAGATATGGTGAAATTCAGCATGAGTTGGACAGAATGTCTTACTAAGCATGAGCCGAAGATAACCGATTGCTGTACTATTTGGCCTACCTTAATAAGGCAGATTGCTTACTCTACTTGACAAGCCTTAATTAGAAAGACTGCTTATTATACTTGGTCTACCTTAATAAGGCAGATTGCTTATTATACTTGGTCTACCTTAATAAGGCAGATTGCTTATTATCCCATCGAACGAAGTTCGGAGGGATATAGGGAACGCCTCCGTCCGTCCGTCCGTACGTACGTCCGTCCGTCCGGGCAATAACTCAAATACCGTTGGCCCGATTTTGTTCATATTTTGTACACATATACCCTATGGGGGTAGAAGTTCTGCTCGAAAGCCGATTTTCAAAATGGCCGCTCATTTCAAAATGGCGGCCATTTTAGTGCCGATTTTACAGTAATTTAGGTACAATATGTAAAACTGTAATAGCAATATGTTTTAAGTGTAAAAAAATTATAAAGGACATTAATAAAGCTACAAATGTAGATATTAAAAAAGCACATGGCAGCCATCTTGAAAAATGGCGGCCTTTACTCGTTATTTTACGATTTTTGCTGTAACTCGAAAAGTAGTTGAGCGATTTTGTTCATATTTGGTATGTGAATACTATAAACATTGCACACTGTCCTATGACACTTTTGGTAGAAGGCGGCCATTTTGAAAAAATTTGAAAAATGGCCGCCATTTTTATGTGTGTTATTTCACAAGTACATGTGTGCGATTTTTCAAAAATTTTATAGGTGGCTACTAAAAGCATATTATTTCTTCTGTTGACAACTTGGCTACTTTTGATAAAGACACTTTTGGTAGAAGGCGGCCATTTTGAAAAATGGCCGCCATTTTAACGTATTTTACTATAACTTGAAAAGTAGTGGAGCGATTTTGTTCATATTTGGTATGTGAATACTATAAGCATGGCACACTGTCCTATGACACTTTTGGTAGAAGGCGGCCATTTTGAAAAAAATTTTGAAAAATGGCCGCCATTTTAACATATTTTACTATAACTCGAAAAGTAGTGGAGCAATTTTGTTCATATTTGGTATGTGAATACTATAAGCATGGCATACTGTCCTATGACACTTTTGGTAGAAGGCGGCCATTTTGAAAAAATTTGAAAAATGGCCGCCATTTTTATGTGTGTTATTTCACAAGTACATGTGTGCGATTTTTCAAAAATTTTATAGGTGGCTACTAAAAGCATATTATTTCTTCTGTTGACAACTTGGCTAACCATTTTGAAAATGATGGCCTTTCTGGTGTGTTGTTTTATGATATTTGCTATATATTTCGTTTGTAAAAATGCCAGCCATTTCTGTTCGATGGGATTCGCTACGCTTTGGCGTTGCCGTTGTTCTGGTTATACTTGGTCTACCTTAATAAGGCAGATTGCTTATTATACTTGGCCTACCTTAATAAGGCAAATTGCTTATTATACTTGGCCTACCTTAATAAGGCAGATTGCTTATTATACTTGGTCTACCTTAATAAGGCAGATTGCTTATTATACTTGGCCTACCTTAATAAGGCAGATTGCTTATTATACTTGGTCTACCTTAATAAGGCAGATTGCTTATTATACTTGGCCTACCTTAATAAGGCAGATTGCTTATTATACTTGGCTTACCTTAATAAGGCAGATTGCTTATTATACTTGGCCTACCTTAATTAGGCAGATTGCTCATTATACTCGGTCTACCTTAATAAGGCAGATTGCTTATTATACTTGGTCTACCTTAATAAGGCAGATTGCTTATTATACTTGGCCTACCTTAATAAGGCAGATTGCTTATTATACTTGGCCTACCTTAATAAGGCAGATTGCTTATTATACTTGGCCTTCCTTAATAAGGCAGATTGCTTATTATACTTGGCCTACCTTAATAAGGCAGATTGCTTATTATACTTGGCCTACCTTAATAAGGCAGATTGCTTATTATACTTGGCCTACCTTAATAAGGCAGATTGCTTATTATACTTGACCGGCCTTAATTAGAAAGATTGCTTATTCTACTTGGCCTACCTTAATTAGGCACATTGCTTATTCTACTCTGCCAATCTTAATTAGTCAGATTGCTTATTCTAATTGTATTTGGCCTACCTTAATGAGACAGTTTCCTTATTCTACTTGGTCATGTAAAAATTTGAAATTGTTAGACATTTTGTGCATATTACAATACACGAACATGAATTTGCAATGCAAATTGCATTATAAAATATTGTTTGAATTTGATTACTGCTCAGTATGTTTCATCAGCAATTAATTAATGATCACAAATATGCCATTATGCTATATAGCCTATCATGTACATTGAATGTTGAAATAAAAAACAATCAACTGAATACATGTATATGAAATTAAATATCACATCGTAATCAAAACTGTTTTAGTAAGTGGCTAGAATATTTATGCAAATGTGGAATATAAAGTATGTTTTTCGAATAAACATTTCCCCAAAAGGTAACACATAGACTGTGTGAGGAATGTTAAATAATTTTAAGGAGTAACTGATATGGAATGAGTCGTAATGAAAATAGATAGCATATCTAGAGAAACAGGTAATTCATTTTAGATTCAGCTATCACCAGATTTGTGAAAAATGAAGATATGCTAATTGGTGGCAAATAATTAACTTGGATTTTACATTAAATACAGCAACAAAGATCAACATCAAAAAAAGAAGTTCCCACAAAGGTGAGTTCAACTAATGTTTGTTTCAACCAAGTTAATAAGGCCCGTATATACACTTGTATGTCTTAGTCTGAGATAACATCATGCACTTAAAATGTCATCTATTCAAAATTGAATGCTGACATCACTTTTAGAGATTTTTTTTAATGATGCAGGGACCTCTATCCCGTGGATGGGGAAAAAGGTCCATGCTAGCTAGAAATTATCTTGATTTTTGACATTTATATTAAAAATCAGTCAAAGTGAAATCATGTTTGAAATCTACATGTGAAATTATATCAAGATAAATGGTTTAAACGATTATTTATAATCATGAAATTTTAATTTTCTTTGAAAATGTGAGGTCTAGGTCGGTTAGATTCTCCAAAGAGGCCATGTTATAGAATCATGAAAAATGAAAAGTCTTTTCTTGTATTGGACAGATAATATTTTCTTATACTGGACATATTTTCAAGAGTACCTAACAACATTAATTTTGCTTGAGGGGATAATAAAAAAAACACAAATACACATGTGTAAGCCATAAATTTCATCTAAACTGGGTATTTGTATTTCAGAGCTTTGTTTATACATTATGTATATTGTCTTCATTATATTAGGTTGAATGCATAGAGTTTAGAAATGAATTGTCACATGTGCAAATCCATCCGGGAAATCCATCAACTTTGGAGTGCAATATGAAATTGAATTCCAGGACAATATTTCTAATTCATTTGACTCATTTGACTTTGTTTTGGTTAAAATGACTACTGCTGAAAATATTAAGTGAACGCCTATGGGTAAACAAATTAAATGCACCTTTGAAAATAACAGACTTCTATTACATCCAATTTTATTCAAATGGTGAAATTAATTGCAATTGTTTATTATAGATGCCACTCAAATCAAAATGGGGAAACTTCAAAAAAGCAATATCACCAAAGAATGCAAGCTATAACTTCAAACCGAAGGAATCAAAGAGCAGGTAGGACAATACAAGCATATTATTGATATTGTGATTTAGTAAGATAATTGATTTGAACATATTTGTTAGATGATAACACTTTAAAAGTCCCGCCTAAAAGTTTCGAAAACTTTGTAAAAACTTTTGACCAATCAGAGACAGTTCAACAGCGTAATCCGGTAGAAACCCCAGAAGTTGAAAAATTAAACTTACAAAATTTGTCTCATAAAAGAAGTTCTATTTTCTCTAGAAAATCGGATCATGAGAGCGTAACCAAGATGGATTTAGGAAAAGCAAGTGTTCGGAGAAATGGAATAAATACACTACACTCAGGTAAGTTCACAGATATTCAGCGAATCAATGTCAAAAGTTTGTCAATCATTTTTTATTATTTTTTCTAAACTTCTAAAGTAAAAATAATACTACAGAGTCACAGGTAGTGTGTAGTTCAATACTTATAAGCTGATTATATAGAAAAGTTGTTGATCCTTGCACTTTCTTACCTTTACCTTCTTCCACATTTGTCGTATCTGTACCTATCTTTTTTCTTGTCCAGTCCAAGCATGGGTTTTCAATTAGATTCTAGTTGAAAGCCTAGCCATAGTCCAAGATAGAAATTTCTTTGGGAAGTCATTGGCTTTCAAGATGTTTTGGAGGCCCATTTGGAAGAGTCGTTTTTGAAAACATGTATCTTAAGCCCCGTATACACTAGCAGGTGAAATGCTTGAGATTGGGGGGGGTGGGGGGCGTCAAAACTGCTTGAGATGGTTGAAATGAAAGTGAAAATAGCTTTAAGCGAGTTGATTGAACTGCTTCTTCCTCAATTGGTTATGTGATTGAAATGCTTAAAACAGTCACAAGCAGCAAAACTTTAATATCATTTTCAAAGGTATATTGATTGAAATTGCTGACACACCTGAAGTGCTTGAAATCATGCAAGTTATGAATTGGAGGAAATGATGCAAGCATTGAACTGATTGAAACTGTTGAAACAATTGAACTGATTGAAACAATTGAAACGATTGAACTGATTGAAATGGTTGAAACAATTGAAATATTGAACTAATTGAAACAATTGAAAACACTGAAATTGTCAAAAGGTGGAAATCAAAAAATCGATGACTGTAAACATTTATAATTTAATTACATTCTTCATATTTTGATCTGAAAATAGAGCATTAATTTTTGGATGCACCAATTAAGGCATTGTTATAAGAAAGCCATTTGAGTGATTTGATCACATGTAGTTGCTTAATGTGATACTAAATTAATGTTTGAATATAAGATTTAGTGCCTCTGAAGAATATGAGCAGAATAATGTTCTTGTGACATTAGTCTTAAACTTTAAAACTAGAAGATGGGGGATAAGGAAAGTTGTCAAATAAACTAATCTTTCAGCTGCATGTCATGCCTATGAATCCCCATAGATAGAAAAAGAGATACCTACTCAAAATGTAGCTTATTAATATTTCTTTTCTCATATATCAGGGTTCTTGGGTTTATTTATTTTTGCAACTTGATTGTTTGATAATGAATGGGATTCTTACTTTATACTTTACATACAGCATATTAAAAAATCTTTACACTTTGGAAGGTGTAAATACAAAACCTCAATTGTTTACAGATAAACAAATGAAATATCACAGATTAGAAATGCAAACTGTGCAGTAAAAACTCTCTAAAGTGAAGTCTGCCAGGAACAGCTAACTATAAATTGTCCTATTGAGAGGTGTCCATATTGAGTGATGTTCATATTGAGTGATGTTCATATTGAGTGATGTTCATATTGAGTGATGTTCATATTGAGTGATGTTCATATTGAGTGATGTCCATATTGAGTGATGTTCATATTGAGTGATGTCTATATTGAGTGATGTTCTCATATTGAGTGATGTTCATATTGAGTGATGGTCATATTGAGTGATGTCCACATTGAGAGGCAACTAAAAGTGTTCACATTTCAAGGTGCTATCTACATTTGATAGTTATTCTGTACAATATGTTATGACATGTGAAAATTGACATTTGATTGTTGCCAACAAATACATCTTTCTAGAGGCAATTATTAGTGAAAAGTAACTTATGGGGATGTAGCCAAGATAAAACTGTACTTATTTTGTACATGTGTCCTTTTAACAAGGCAAACATGATTGGGAAATATAACATTACATAAAGGGTCATTGCCAAGTAATTATGCAACAACATGTGTTATTTTAATAAAAGTGCTATTACTTTGAATCATATGTGATTGTATTATATATCTTTATATATCTTTATATATATCTTTTATATATTCCCAGGTCCTACTTGATTTTCATCTACATTGAAAAATAACATGTATGATCAGGGCCGTCAGATGGGGGGGTGCGATGGGTGCGACCGCACCCCCCTTTGTCACCCCCCAAAATAAATTTGAAAAAAAAATTTTGAAAAGAAAATTTCTTTTTCATTGACTCATACACTTTGAAAGTACCCAGAAAGCACCAAATAGCATCTTAAAATTGTAAAATTTTCTAGGGGTATTGGCCACCCCTCACACCCCCCACAAAACATTATGGAAAAGTTCTAAATTTATTTTAGAGTTTTGTCTCAGACACTTAAAGTGCTCAGATATCATCAAATAGCTCCTTGATGTAGTTAGTGTTTCTGGGGGACTTACTCCCCCTCTTGCACTTGCATAACCCCCCCCCCCCCTCTGGCGCCCCCCCCCCCCTTGACCCCCCCCCAACAAAATTGTGATTTTCTCAAATTCTTTAATTGACTCATACACTTTGAAAGTGCCCAGAAAGCATCAAATAGCGTCGTAAAATTGTAAAATTTTCTAGGGGGAGTAGGCCACCCCTCACACCCCAAACAAAACAATGGAAAAGTTCTGAATTTGTTTTATGTATTGTCTCAGACACTTTTAAATTGCCCAGACATCATCAAATAGCTTCTTGATAAAGTTAATGATTATGGAAGACTAACACTTACTCGCCCTCTGGCATCCCCACTCCACCTCCTCCTCTGGCAGCCCCCTCCCTTAACACCCCCCCCCCAAAAAAAAAAAATTGACTCATACCCTTTGAAAGTGCCCAGAAAGCACCAAATAGCATCTTAAAATTGAAAAATTTTCTTGGGAAATAGGCACTTTTAGGCACAGACACTTTTAAAGTGCCCAAACTTCATCGAATAGCACCTTGATATTGTAAATTTTGATATGGGGGACAAACACTTGCTCCCCCTCTGGCACCCCAGCCCCAACTCCCCCTCTGGCACCATCCCCCCTTTGACACCCCCAAAATTTGAAATAAAATTATGATTGTTTTTCAATGCTTTTATTGACTAATACACTTTAAAAGTGCCCAGAAGCACCAAATACCATCTTTAAATTGTAAACTTTTCTAGGAGAGTTAGCCACCCCTCACATCCCCCACAAAACAAAAGAAAATATTCTGAATTTCATGTATTGTCTCAGACATTTTTTAAGTGCCCAGACATCATCAAATAGCACCTTGATATGGTCAATGTTTCTGGGGGACAACCCCTTGCTCCCCTACTGGCACCCCACTCCACTTCACCCTCTCATCCTCTTTGACACCCCCAAAAGAATTTGAAAAAAATCACATTTTTCTTATTGACTCATAACGCACAGGCGTACCAGATGGTTGCAAATTCGCTCCAAATACAACCAAATTTCAAAATTTTCCTGGGGGGAGAACCCCAAGACCCCCTGAATGCTCCGTTTTTATTCACTCAAGTCTTATTCCCGTGGCATTGGCGTACTACTTAGAAACTTACACTTTGAAAGTGCCCAGAAAGCACCAAATAGCTTTTCAAAACTGTAAAATTTTCTAGGGGGAGTGGACCACTCCTCACACCCCCACAAAACAATTGGAACGTTTGGAAGTTGCATGCATTTGTTAATTCCAAACCAATATAGGGAATAACTGACCCCCCCCCCCCCTCTGTCTTACGCGATTTGATTTACGCGGCAAAAAATGACAATTTTATATTCTCTTTAGTAAGCTAAAAACCGCACCCCCCTTGGAGAAAAGTGTCTTACGGGCCTGATGATACATAATAAGTGAGATAGAAAGAGATAAGCATTAACCAGCTGGACTTATTTGCATACATGCACATAGTTGCCATATACGTGTATAATTAGATAAAACAATAAAATGATGATGTAACACTTAATAATATACAAATGCATGTACAAGTTTAAATACATGTACTTATTACCTTAACCTTAAAAATGTTATGTTTATAGCCCACCCACTCATATCAGTAAACCCTTCACATATCTCATGAAATAAAAATGTGGTATTTAAAGATATAAAAATATATGAAATATGAGCATTTCAGTTAAAAGCCCCCTCTCCTCTGATGGATTACTATTAGTATTGTAAAAAAAAGCAAGGCAGACTAAAATAAGCACTTGGCCATATGAGGAAAATTTGATAAGAGGATACTTTAGTTAAACAAAAAAATTGTTTTAACTTTTAGCAAGGTAGTTACTTCCCGGAGTTACTTAACCTGTTTCAAAGCTAGTTTTGCCCATGAAATGTACAGTAAATGAAAAAAAGAAACTCTATATATCCTTGTATTTGATAATAAGAGGATATAAGCTGATTGATATAATCTTCTGGAATATTTGATGATAGTATGTAATCTTAAATTCTGTTTGCTCAGGGTATGTCCCACACTTATACCAAACCATGAAATAATAGTGTTGATCATTCTTTGCCAAGTAATTTTTGTCTCTTGTCTTATTTTTCTGGCATTTCAAATATTGACCTTGAACTTGTGCTTGGGTGTTCAGCTTTTTCACCTATCAGAGGAAATCGTGTTCATCTTCAGCTTTAAAATAGGAGAGGCATGTTTGTTAGTGGGGGATTTAATTTACCAATTTCCATAAAAAATTATGAATATGCCAAGAATCCAATTTTTGGTAAACCCAAAACTTAGCTAATTTTGACCATTCAAAAGAGACCTCCCTGGCTGTTTGAGTGTTTGACTAATAATTGGTTTACCTCTTTCCTTTCTCTTCAAACTTTAAGGAATCATTATGAGATTTCACTTTTGGGAATAGATACTTGCCACTTTACTTCAAACACTTATCAGTTGTGTAAATATGATTGAGATATGATTTCTGTAAAATAAAATGTCTGTACAATATCTTATCTTCCCTTGGTAGGAATCTCAAGATGAATAAAGTATCATAAAAACTGTTAGATTTACAATACATTCTAATACTTAGCCCCAAGAGATGACATAACATTATGGCAGACTCTCAAGTATTGTGGATTGTCCCAAAGACATATTAAAAATCCAGGTCTTATATACTCCCCTCAAGGGCTCTCAAGTGTTTTCAAAACTGTATAATAATCCATTAATTTAGTCAGGGTTGAAAATCTTTGTACAAATACATTAACATATTCCATTAATGTAGCATATATGCATTGCAACATAATACAGTGTTTCGATAAAGGTTGGTCCTTAAGTTGGAGAATATACACTTTATTACATTGTTTTACATTCATACATTATATATTATGCAAATGTATATAATCTTTATTAAGGTTGGCAAAGTAGAAAGATTTTCCATTTAAGTCATGTCATCTTAGGCACAAAAGTGACCTTACAAGACCTACCTTAATTATTACTGAGAATGAATTCATATTTTGAAACAAATGATGAACATGCAAGATTTACTTCTCAACATGTATATCCTTTGCATTTGTTCGACTTGGCTTCGTCTTAGTAAGTTAAAACTGCGTGCAGGGTACGACATTCAATTGATGAGAGAAAGCATTTTTTTCTTTGTCAGACCTGTTCTGGCATTGGTGACCCTTCAAAAGTATGATCAACTGCGAGGGCCTCAAATTAGCACAATGCCTAATTGTAATATTTTCTGAATGTGTATGAAAGTCCATTTATATAATATTGTTTCTTGTATTGTAGCTGTCCACAGAAAGCGTGGCCTATCATGGACAGATGGGAGATATATCTATTTCTTTATTGTCATCTTTTCTGAATGTGTATGAAAGTCCATTTATATAATATTGTTTCTTGTATTGTAGCTGTCCACAGAAAGCATGGCCTATCATGGACAGATGGGAGATGTATCTATTTGGCTCCAGTCAAGATAATCAGTGGTGTGCTACAGAATGAGGACTCTATAAAACTTGGAGAATTTGAGTAAGACTTTTATAACAACATATAAAGCAGCAATTAAGCAAGTGGGATCTTATATAATATCAAGGAAAGATATTTCATGGGCCTTTTTAAGTAGGATGCATTTAACTCTCTGTGTTGAGATCATTTGTAAACTTTTGGTCATTGAGGCAAAGGATAGGTATCGATATGGTGAACTGAATTCAAAAATGTTTTTCTCTTAAACCAATTATTGAAAACATTCTGTAAAAAACACGGTGTTTTATGTAATGTTGACTGATTGGCAACAATTTTATATAACTGTATTTGTTAACATTTTTTGTTTTTCAGTGCAATTGTTTTTTGTTCCTTTTTACCAATTCTTGAGAATGAAATAAAATGTCTTTCCAAACCTTGTTGGAACAAAATAGCATATACGAGTACAACATTTTTCTTAGACCTCTCAATATTATAGTTATACAACTACTTGATTGATTTTACAAAAAGTATGCAAAAACTTAAAACAAAACCCCCCAAAATAGATGAAAATAAAGATAAACCTTTTATTTCATTAACAAAATACTTTTTTAAAATCAACCAAACTTTCCTTTGTACAATTACAATATTGAGAGACCTAAACATGTTGTGTTCATGTTGTTTTGTTCCAATGAGGTTCAGATAGATGTTTCATTTCATTCCGCAATCCGAACATATGATACCAAGAACAAAAGAAGTATCTTATTTGTTTTCAAAAACAATATAAAGTTTGTGAATATATTTCAAATTATAATGTTACCACCCAAAAGATGGCCATTAAATTGATGATGTTTAAAATTTTCAGAATGTTTTGATGACTGGTTTAAGAGAAACGCGTGTTCAAAAAGATACCACTCTTTTTCCATTTCTTTGATTTTCTCAGTTTTGGGGCAAACACCCCATGGTCATCACTAATAAATATAAAATGTTTAGGTTTTTTCTTAAATCAGTACTGTTGTATGTCATAAACCTGATAATACATCATCCACTATGTGTGTGTGTGTTACCTATCATTCCTTTTGAAACATCAACAGCATTTTAATTTCCTTAATTACATGTTAAACATGTACAATAGAACATGTTAGATGGACAGTTAAACTTGCATTAGTTAAACGCCTTTGCTACCTCCCATTGGAGATGTTCCGTTAAGAGAGGTTAATTTTTGTAACAGGACTTTGAAAAGTGTTACACTGTGTGTGGGTGTTCTATTTAAGGAGACTACTTTGGAAAGTTTCATTTTTGGAAAAGGACTTTGGAAAGTGTTGCACTGTGTGGAGGTGTTCTATTTTTTAACAGGACTTTGAAAAGTGTTACACTGTGTGTGAGTGTTCTATTTAAGGAGGTATTCCACTTTGGAAAGTTTCATTTTTGGAATAGGGCTTTGGAAAGCGCTACACTGTGCGGAGGTGTTCTATTTTTGTAACAGGACTTTGAAAAGTGTTACACTGTGTGGAGAGGTGTTCTACTTACAAATGTGTTTAACTTTAAACGTTTTACTGTATACCGTTGTAATTACATATCAGCTACAGGTGTTTTCAAGGTAACATGTATTTCCATATAAAAGTGAAACGAGGCTATATTTGTTATCACACATCTACCTTAAATGTATAACATAGAGATGCTTGGCAAGCCAAATACTTAACTAGAGTTATGAACACTTGAAATACAATTGCACCCTCAAATGTTTGAACATATCAACATATATTTCCAATATGTGTTGTTAAAAAGCTGAACATAAAAGCAGAAATTTGTCTTATTCAAAAGCATATAGCCAGTATTCAGACACATGTGTATTCCACTGGTGTCATTTAATCACTATTTATTGAGTTTTTTAAATTTGAAACCACATCCACAAATAGGACAGTATTTAAGTGATTCACGAGTTAAGAATGAAATGGCTGATGAGTGTAAAGTTAACAGAGTTGTTAACCTTTGCTTTATTCAAAGAAATCAGAAATGTCAAAGCATATTTTTATCACTCATGTCATATGAAATTGTAATGAATGTGATTTAATGCTTCTGATATTTGGTGTTTTTGTTTTGAAAGCTATTTTATGTGTCATTTTGACATAGCTAAATGGTTGGTTTAGTTAATCTGAAATCTACTCTTTATTGTATTGTTGTATTGTATTGAATTGTATTGTATTGTATTATCCTATAAAGGAACACTGTGTTCATTATATGTTCTGATATTTAGACATACCAGGACACATCGCTGTGACAGCTCTTTGTATGAGATGTATGCAACTCACTCACTCAGTCACACACACAGAGTCTCACTTTGAATTTATAAAAATACTTTAAGTATTGCTGCCCAAACCAGGAATTGAACCTGGAACAACAAATTCTTAATAGTTTAGTTTTAGCTTAGTAATTTTTCATTTATAGTAGTCAGTCTTACAATTCAACAAATAATATGAAAAAATATAATAACAATTTTACCCAGCTCACCTTGGGCTTATTAACCTGAATGTTAATTTTAGTAGATTTGAATAAAACATTGAGTTATCTTTAAAAGCATATAGTGATGTTATTATAACTTTTGACTGTCCACAGTCAATAATAAAACCTCTGGTATTCTGATTTTGACAAGGTTTATATGAGAAAAATAACAAGAAGGATTGTCAATAATGCCATTAGGATGCCAATAATTTTTAATCTTCACAAGACTGCAAAGAATGTCACATTGATAATCCTTGTTGTTAACTCAAATATGTCATGAAAGCATCAAATGACCAATAGTTCGTTTAAAAACTCCATGAAACTTGATAATTTACATTAAATCTTAGGATAAATGCTTTAATTCATTTTTTTATTAAATGTTTTTTTTGTCTTTAGTAAGATCCGGAGCTTACACTGGAGCGCTGACCTTGAGGGAGATTACTGTTTCCTGTGTGTTGTACATTCTGAGACTGTCTCTATATGGAGGGTAGGGGGTTTAACACCTCAGCTTAAGTTCAAACAAGTCAGAAAAATAAATGCTTCACCAATACTACAAGGTAAGGAGGTAATGAACTGTCCCAGATTTCAAATTTTATTTTCATGAATTTTATGTAGTTTGTGTGAACGTTTGATGCATTTTACTGTCCTTTAATGAGTTTTGAAATTTATTTTTTATACTTTACACCCAGTTTCTCAGTAAACTGGTATTTTTTAGATATTTACTATCCCAGTTGAGTCTGCTCAACTATAAAACTCCTATTTAACGAAAATGTATTCAAATGTACTTTATGTGTAATATAATACATAAAGTAGAGATTAAAATTCCAGCCTGAAGTTCTACTTTGTTTTGTGTCAATACTTTAAAGTCTGCAAATTGGATATATATTCATATGTAATTTTGAGTTAAATTCAGCGTGAAATGGCATTCTAATTGTAAATACTAATTTTGAGCAAAATGTTTGACAACAGAAGTAAAGTAAATTACTTTACTATAATCCAATTTCCATTTAATAATGTAAGTTATTCAGAAATTTCACGTAAGATTTCATGCAGGCTTTTATGAATTAAACAGCTAAATGCTTCTTAGTTCATGTTAGTAACCTGTTATGCCCTTTAGTTAACATTTTGATTAGATTTCTGCCTTGTTTTCCCAACTCCTCCAGTTTTTCCATGCATATCTCAAGAAAATACATGTAAATTATATTACCTGTACTCAAAATTGACAAACTAAAACTCTAATTGTGTCCATGTGATTTACTTATAGGATGTCTGTGGAACCCAGACAGAGATATCCTATGTATTCTCAACTCCACCCAGTGCAGTTTCTATTTCAACCACTTGAACAATAAAGGAAGTTTTGCCCTCCCTGTGGTACAAAGGTAAATGAGAGCAGAATTGTAATCATTCCGGGTGTCACAGATCCAGGATTTTTAAGAGTGAATTTCTAATACCCAGAGGAAATTGCTCAATGTTAAATATAAATTTTTATAATACACTCCTATAGGATCTGTACACTCATTTGAACGTATGCGTTTTGATAAAATGCTAATTATTTGAAAATGACAATATAATAACATGTCGCTTGCAAAATATTGAACTTTTCTACATGTCATAAAACATTGTAATTGTTCAATTATCAAACTATAAAAACTGACATGAGCATATTACATGACATTTTGGACCATCAAATAAATTGCATTGTCATATATTAGAATCGAAATATTTTAATTACTGCAATTTGAAATCCTTGTCTTAATTAAGTAAATGAATAGTTAAACTTGTCATGGGAATGATTTTGTCTTGAAGGTTGTTAAATAAACAATGTTTACATAATAAAGTATCTCTGTGATCTTAGGATAACACCACAAGTTAGGGTAGAATAAATAATATGGATTTTTTACACATCATTATTTTGCAAACAAGTAAAGGTATCCCAAAGAAGTTAAGTATCATAAAATTTTCAGACAGCACTTTCAACTAGTATATCTTAAAAATATATTTCAGTTTTGGATCATTATCTGTTTCTTAAGAATTTTTTCTGGTATATGTATTGCTGACTTAAAGAATTTTGTATTTTTAAGTGTCATTTAATTCATTTGCTACAAAAATGATGTAACATTGAATTGATAGATGATGTGTTTTTCCAGTGGTAAGATAACATGCGGAACATGGAGTGATGATGGACAGACCCTCGTCATAGGAGTAGGAACTGATTTAATGGTAAGGAAATACTAGATCTCAGGCGTAATACATGTACTTCATTAAGCTCAAGTCATAGTTAAAATTCGAGGAAATTCAAAGACCCAACATTTAACTTTCTTAGACCCAACTAGCCAACCTCCAACCTTTTTTTAAAAAAGTCTAAAACAAATTTTGGTTATTGGATTATAATACAGTATTTGAAAGATGTCTACTTTATAATTGATATTTGTTTGCCATCAGCTAAATATGTGAAGATTCGCTTTGCGAAATTCTCCAGTAGTTACCATAGTAACCAATGCGTTTTATTTAAAGCTTATATATACAGTATTGTACAAATATAGCTAAATACTAGATTGTTCTTATATTAACAAACCCACTCAGAATAATTAGTGACTGTTAGATTGTTTATTCACAAGTATAGTATAAGGCCCCTCCCTTCGGTAAATGTGCATGTCTTTGCATATAAATGTTCATTAATTTTTTGAAAACATTTTTGATCATTTAAACCTTGATTTACAAACATTTTTGTTACCTCTCATCCATTTCTAAGCACGCTATAATATCACATATGTCAGATTTGGCAGTATAATAACTATTGAGTGTTATCGTAGATCCCTAGCATTGCATTACAAAAAGGTACCCTATTACCCCTTCCCCTCTAATACCATTTGTATTAGAGAGCTGATTACAGTGTGACGGTTTAATGTTTTCTGAGCATGTCTCTATAGTATAAGGCTGTTAATGTTATTAATTGTTGTAGACTGATTAGATATAAGGTATACATGTACATCGGTCAGATTTTATGTAGAGACCATAGGCCACCCTTGCAAGTTGTTTCAAACAGGATGTCCATCAATTAACTCTTACCTTCCCCGGCTTCTTCTTTTTATGACCAAAATGGTTGTACATGTAGTTTGATAGCAGTGTCTGTTCCAAGCATGTAGGATATTATAATGGTGCAGGTTTAATGTAGGTAGATACAAGATATTAATGTGTCAGTGTAATTTTAGACTCCTAGCAAGGTGTCACACAGAGGATCACAGAGTGTCAGGTCTTATGTCATTGTAAGTTGGGGAATTATGTCATATTTTGCATGATCTGTATCTCCTTTATCATTGTTTTGTTAGGTCTAATTTTTCCCACTCCCATGGTGCTGTTTTTTACTAATGGATTAGATAGCTCATCTTATAATATTACATAGCATGTATACATATGTGTACATATGAGATATATTTCATGTAATTTTCATTTGATTAATTGCAATTGTAGATTTACAAATGGACTGATATTGACAAATCAATCAGTGATAATGCAATGGTGCTGTGGAAGATACCTGGGTAAGTAAGACTTTAAAGAACTATGTTAAATTATGTAATAAATTCATAAGTACATATATTTCAATATTCATCTATTCTTTGAGTCCCTACTGGTAATTTCAAGGCATATATATTATGTAATCAAATTTAAAATCAAACTAAACCTTTTCAAATTTGATGATGTGTATACTTACAAGTGTGCGTGTTTTGCAATTAAACCAGCCTGAGATATTGATATGTCGATGTCTTGTGGCATCCCTGTTTAATACAGTATTCTAGTTTTCATACATTCTCATCTATAATGCATCTATCAGGAGACTCTGCTGGTGAAATGCCACTGAGTTCACTGTCCAAACTCAACTGACTTTTTAGGGAGATTTTTCAGTTGACAACTCCTTTCAGGCCATAACAATTCTTCATGATTTGAATGAAATAAGTTGAGAAATTGCATACATTTTCTTTTGGTTTTTCTTTTCAGGCTATTAGCTGTTGACCTTGATTTATATATCAATATTGGAGCTGTCTTGGAAATACTATAACATAAGGTATTCATTGATTTTTCAGTGTGGATGGACAGATTAGTACCATGGTGCCCATATCTGGTGGAGGTCTCCTCTGTACAGTGGAGTTGCCTTTAGAAACACTGTGCAGACAACAGCAGGACATATTTCAAATACCAGGTAGAGGATGAAATAGTACATATGATTAATGATGAAACATCAGCTTGCATTTTTAACTCTTTACAGTTTGGACCATATAATTGGATTTGTACTTGTGATCTACCATTTTATGTGAACATTAAGAAGTGAAGCCAACACCACCTTTTTTTGGTTTTACCAGTTGGTATTTGCTGTTTGGAATGCAATATCTTTAACAAATTTTGAAACCTTTTGCCATTTTGTTGAATAACATGTGATATGGATGAGTTATTTGTTCAGGAGATCCCATGTAATGTTCAAAAATATAACATGGTATAACCTTTTAGCTTGTTATTGGAGCTCCAACCACCTGGCTGTAGACACAGTCAGAGTATCTTGCAAGGCATGTGCAGGAATGACATTTTAGGTTATGTAATTTTATAGGGACAATGTAACCTTCATAAAGTTTGAAACAATTGCACTATGAACTTGTTTAATCTAATCTTGAATGTGGTTAATCATTTTCTCATTCTGAAAGTAACTTTCTCAATTTGCAATTCTGTTGATTGTTTTAATAATAAACTTTTTAATTGAAATATTTGGCAGATTATGGTGACATTACATGTTAAAGTACTCAATGTGCATACAGGAGATCTCACTCATGGAGGTCATTGTCAAACCTGTGACTAATAGATGGCGTATGATGGCTGGAATATCTTGAGTACATGTAAATACCCAAAACTTGTTATCCCTTAATCTCTCCTTTATAGATATATCCTCATCCGAGGTTGATAGTGGCTATGGAGAAAATACAGACTCTCATGATATCATCAAATCCCAGCAGCATCAGACTACAAACATCTTCCAGCTTCAAAGTCCTCCCCAGAGTGTGACAGACTCTTCACAGATGGTCCTTGTTGCCTTAGAGGGGACTAACAAACCTGGGACCCATGACCCTGTCAAGTTATCCAGTGTCACCCTTAAAGGGATTATCACACCTAATTTGTTACTTTATGATGTAAGTAGATGATACCTGGATGATAATTTTTAATCTGTAGTACTGTAATTTATTCTCAATTTGCATTGAATAGTGTGTTCTATATTCCCATGTAACTGTTTAACTGATTAGTTATTATGTCACCACCACAAGTGACATATTGCTATAGTCTCCATCTTTTTTGTGGATGGTGTTTGGCATACAGCGGGCAGCAGTCATAGTCTGTAACAAATGGCAGGTGGTGACATTTTTCTGAGTTGTGTTATTCTAAGTGCCAGTGGCTTAGGTGGATAGATGAGTCAATGGGCTGCATGAAAGAACAGCGAGAGCTATTATATTTCTTGTTATATTATTTCACTTATTTTTTTTTATTTTTTTATTATTTTTTTTTATTATTTCACTTATGTTTTGCAGGTAGAGAAAAAGGCAATATTTGTTGGCAGTAATATGCAGAGTTCAATACAAATGTTCTCTCTTGCCTACAACAACTTCAATAAAGTCACTGAAATTGTAAGTACTACACCTTATATGCAATGCTTAAATATTAGCTTACCATATTCTCTCCAATAAATGCACAGTGTGTTTACCAAATTCTCCTGAAGGAGATGTCTCAAATGACAAAATATACTCAACTTCTTGAGAGGGTGTGGAAAAAATCAGGAGACAATGGGAGATTAGTGATGTACTTTAATACAGGCAATGATCTTGGGTTTTTCAAGTGTGGAAAAAAGCAATATCTGCATGTGTATGCACTACATGGAAAATATTCCAATTTTTCCACAGACTGGTCCAGATAAACTATGAATGTTTATTTTGAAATGCATCATTTTATTTAATAGGTGAATTATGTGATAAAATGATAAATAGAACATCTCATAATGTTAATTTTGATTTTAAATTATTTGTGCATCTTACACCTGCTGAGTATTAATTAAATTAACATACTAAATGCCAGATATGAGGGTACATGTATATGGCATTCTGCATTTTATTTGATATATCTCCCCTATTTCCAATACTTCAATAAAACTACTGGAAATAATTAATGGATTCATAGCAATATTGTAGCACTGTAAAGATATATGTTCTGAAAAGATTATTTACCAGGCCCATATCCAGGGGGTGGGCGGAGTTAGCCGTTGCTGCCCTGGCCAGAAATTCTTTCAAAAGCATGCAGTTTTTCACAATTCTAAGCATTTTTCGGATGATTTTTCAGCCAAAACTGTCAAAATGCTCCCCCTTGGCAAAAGCTTCCCCTGTATGATATTAAATTGTGATGTTTTTCAAACGTATGGAAAGTGGTATCTTTTGAATGGTCATTTGCTGCTTGTAAAAACTGAAATCAACACATACTGTATAACATGAAATATTGCCGTGGATATAAAGTTGCCGATTGCCGAATGTAAAACAGAAACAGCAACATAAAATTCGGAAATATAATTGAGTAATTGAAGATCGATTTTAGTGGGCGATTCGAGTGTCAACTTATTGTAATCTTCTCACGAGTATCAACTTACAATACTTTAACAAAACTCATGAATAAAATACGATAGATTTGAAGTTTTTTTAATAATAAAAATGTTGCAGTTAAATGCATGCAGTAAAATGTCTATAAAATATTAAATGGATTGTCATGTTAAAAAGTTAAAAAGTAAGAAGATATAATCGTATCCAAGTGCTTTGGAAATCCCAGTATTTAAAGTTTTAATCCCTGTACTAAAAGTTTTTAATCTGGGTATTAATTCTGAGTCTATCAAACGCGGGAATTACTCAAACTATCACTCATAATCTATATCATTATGGATGTCAGGTTTTCTGAGTCGATTATTGAAGGGGTGTCAGGTCGGCAATATTTTATTTGACTTTACATTAGGGGTGTCAGGTCGGCAAACTTTTATTCGGCAATAACAATTTTAATCCAATTCGGAAAATAAAGCACCCGGATTTAATACATGTTATACAGTAAAACATTGTAAAATGGTTTGCCTATAAATCGTATATGTATTAAATGAGATAAGCCATACATTTCGAATATACTCTTTTGCCTTGCAGCCTTTAGAGAAAGATGAGCGAGTGAAAGGTCTGTGTAGTATACCTAAATCTCGGGCTGTATCTTCAAAGATAGGAACTCTGGTCATGACAGGAAAAATGATGAATAGAGATCACACTTTCTTACCTTCTTCTGTGGAGAGTGAATGTAACCTACATTTGAAATATGTCTCCATTTCTCAAGGTATGTACCTCACGCCATCTATTGTGAACTTCTCATTATGCAAAATGATTGTTCAATGAATGTGTTTAAACACAGGACTGGTGTTGAGAGAAAAAAATCAGATTTAAGATCGCGGACACACTTGTAATCTCAAGTTAGTGAGTACATGTAGTTAGTTATGTCTTTGATCAAACATCAAATTTGAAACTATTATGCTTGGACATGTATGTTGTTTGTTCTGAAATTCTTTTGCTCTGAAATTCTTATACATAGAATTGTGGATTTTATTTGGGCAAAGACTAAGTGTCGCACTTGTGGTTTTTTTCCTCCATTTAATTTGAGGAAGGTTTTGAGATAAGATGGAATGTTTTTTTGTTTGTTTGTTTGTTTGTTTATTTTAAAATCACACAAAGAAAAAACACTTTTACCGCCAATAAGAAATACATAGCATTGTGTTTCAGCTTAGTCAAACCAGTTGATGCAGCCATTTTTGTGATTTAAGTCCAAGAGTGTGTTAAGATATTCAATGAATATACTTTATTTCTTTCAGATCTGTACAATGATTCTCTAGATCCCCCAGTCTACAGACAAACCACATCTCCCCCCAAATCAGACACTTCACTGCATGATCTAAAGCTACCAAATGGTGGAACTGTAACAAATGGAGCTACACAATCTAAAATTGAAACTCTGGATTCTGATGAATATACAAATGGAAAACATGAACTGAACAATAGTGTGAGAGCTACTTCTAAAGTAGGCCAAAGAATAAATGAGAAATATAATCAAAAATTTAATGATACTGACACGTCATTGGATATTGACACATCATTGAAGCATGACACATCATTAGATCTTGGAGCATCCATCGCTTCTTCCCTATCAAGCAGTGAATCATACTCAAGCCCTCGTGGAGACTCAAGTCAAAATCTAAAAATCACGGACTTAGATGGGGGAAGTGAAAGCAGTCAGAGCTTAGAAGTTGAAAAAACTGATTTTAGTGAACAATCTGCATACTTTAAAACAAAACTTGCCTCGAACAATGTCAAAAAATCAAACTCAATTAAGCGAATTCATAAATCAGATTCGTTTACAAGATCTGGTGGCCGTTATGGCAATCGGCCATACTCTCCAAGAGATAGGAGATCACCATATATGGACTGGCGCTATACACCAGAAGGGAGCTTTGCGGGTTCTACACAATCTTTAGGCACCAGTTCGGAGCTCAGTCAAGGGAAATATGGCATGGTGGATAGGTACTTTATTTTAAATGATACTGTATAAATATTTGTATTGCAAATCAATGATATTAAATTTTACAAGAAAAATATATTAAGGTACTCCGACTACAAATTTTCAATTTGATTGGCTCAAATTCTGCCAGTTTTGTATTTTTATACAGATGTGGTTCTTTCTCAGGGGTAGCCTCAAGACCTATAAAGGAGCAGTTAGGGTAGAGAATGACAACTAGAAGCATTTGCTCCAATTACTGATAACCTCAATCATTTAATCGTTACATATTGAATATTTCACAGGTGCAGTTTGGCGTCAGAACCTGGCATAGGGACAGTGGGAGAAGGTGCAGGGGAGGGACAAGAAGAGCCAACTGTAGAACAACTAGAGAAGCAAATACACATACAGGTAAGTGTTAGAGTATTGACACATGTCTGCTGATTTTTCAACCTTTGTTATTAAAGCATCCTTGTTTTTTTACATATTTTATGAATGATGAAAAAATATCAGTTTGATTTCTAAAATGTTTATTTGTTAGTTCATATAGATTATAAATATGAGAAGTTCAGGTTGTGAGACATTATATGTTTTCAATGTTTCTATGGAACAACAAAAGAGAGTAGCTAGTAAGGGCCTCCTTAAGTGGAAACAAAAGTGACTCCTATCTTGCATGGGCTAACTTAACAGAATCAACAGCTATAGTAATAATTATTTTTTGTATATTTTCAGAATTTGCATCTTACCCAACTTCATGCCAGGATTGATGAAATTACGTCCCTACTAGAGGATACCACCTGTGTCCCTGTTACACGATATCTCCCAGCGACACAACCTGACGTTGTGAAACTCATGCTTAAACAAGGGAGTGAGGTCACTCAAGTGAAGAGCTTTGTGCTAGATAATGGCCGACTCCAATTGGATTTAGTGAAGCAAGCATTTAATTTGGAAACTGTAGAGTTAGTATTAGGTAGGTACACGCACATGTATTATTACTCTGACACATTAGGCTTACAGGTTAAGTTAGGTTCAAATCAATAATGAACTCCCTTAGATTCCATAGAGAGTGTTTCAAAATTCAAACATACATTTTGAATCTGTACCAGACTAATTACCAAGGCATATTCAAAATATCAGTTTTTGCTTCACTAGCACTTTCATCAGTTAAAGTAGTTTTTCTTCAATACCCATCCTTGGTCCAAGGGTATGTCACTTCTTCTGAATTGAGTAATGAATGAAGTCCTTTGAATGAAGGATGTCAAGACCTAATGTTACCCATCTTCTCCCAATACTCATCTCATTGTGTGTTAGACTTTACTCAAAGTTGAATATCTTTTAATTGGAACTTTTGTTCCCATATAATATCATGAGACAGAGATTTTATTCAAACAGTTTTTATTTGAATTCCAGATGGTCTTACTTGTATGGTTGGTTCTAACGTCGATGGCTACATTCCAGTGAAGTTCACACCAAACTCCACCATGTTCGTCACAGGAGTGCTTGATCCACATAGACTGGAGAAAAATAGCAGTTCATGTTAATTTAACATGTTCACATGGGACAATCCTGCAAACAACATGTGATAGTGAACCATTCAGAATATTGAAAAATCAGGGATTTGACCCTGACAAACTTGCTTTATTTTCACCCGCTAGAGTGAAATTTATCAAAATTAGGTGTCTAAATCCTAAGGTGAACGAACCTCTGAAGTATAAGGTATTTAAGGGCTTCCATGACTTCATATTGTTGTACGGTATAAGATTTTGTAACTTTTTTACAAAAAATGATGCCTTATTGATAGAAGCTATAAAATGAATACAACAAAATTATAAACAGTGCATTAAAAGATTAAAAAGTTCTTTGTTACATTTTAGTTCAAGCTTTTGTATTTTTCCTACAAAAACACTGTTGTATCTATGTATATGAATAAGACTCACAAAACCATAGACGATGGTCTGAAAATGTGGTAATATAGAAGACCTCCCATTTCTGAGAGGAATATGCTTGGCAATGCTGGTGATGATGTGCATATAGGTCTTCTGTGGTGTCTTCGGACTCAGAACTGTTGATGATCTGTGTTAACAAAGTTGGGAGTACATACTGTAAAAGTCATTGAATACAAGGGTGTCTAGTGTAGGATACATTTGTTATTTACTTATGTTGGTCGAAGCTTCCACTTGTGTTGGTAATGGTTCATATTCACTAATACTGGGTGTGTCAGATTTTCATGATTACTAGTCAAGTCAAAACTATGTTAATGACCAGTTATGTTATTTTCCTTTAGATGCTGAAACAATTTCCTTGACTACCTGTCAGTACCTGTGCCACACCCTGTACGATTCATATGTAACATGTACTTTTCAAAGTTTACCCCGAAATACATGTAAAGAAAGAAATATCTGGGGTATGTTTAATATATAGCCTTATCTAGATATGAATTGCCTTTACAAATCTCATACACCAGTGATCAAAACATCTGCTTATATGATGCAGATGATTTTTAAAAAGACTAATGCATTGGATTTCCTTACAACCAAGGAAAGGCTATGTATCATTTCTTGAACGATGATCTACAATTTTTAAATATACTCAAATATGTATATTCCAGACATTTTTATGATATCTTTTCATGGGCATGGTTTGGTCCTTAATCATTTTAGTACTGAATATTTACAGATGTTGTAGTATGTAAAAGAACTGCCTCTACCTTGCAAATGACTAGGAGTTCTTTGTTGATTTGAATGGACATGTGTTCGTGAATTTGTTGATCTCATGGTGACTTGTCTAAAGGTTCTGTTAGACCATCCTTAAGGAATTAGAAGGGATAGAGTGTAACATGTTTGAAGCATTTTTTCTCAAAAAGAATGACATTGTTTCCCTTAAAATCCTAATTTTATTTTCAAATACAGATGTTCTTTAAGATGCAGAAAAGTCCAAATTCATTGAAATTCAAAGGATTTTCTGGTATAAAGTCAGAACTGTTGGAACTAGACATGACGTGGAATGTTAAGAGCAAAACATTTTGCCTATAATGGCATAATTTTGGCTATTTTTGGGAAACTTACTGTCAACTATCTCTATCCAATCTAGTACCTTATGAAGGTTTGGTCGTTTAATTCTACAGCTATAGCTAGAGATTATTTAAAACATATTAGACCTGTTAACATCGTGCATCTGTTGATATTATTTATTTTTAATTTCTTGAATGTTTTGGTTTGGTTACTTTGTTTACATATATATATATATTTGTGTAATAATGGCAATATACAAAAATATACAAATCATCTCAGTAAAAAGGCATACAGTGGCCTGGCCTAGTTATATCATGTATTGTATGCTCATATTTTAGACATATCTTATGTTTATCTCTAATGTTAACTATTTTTATTGTATAGTTATCATCCAGACTATTCCATGCATCTAGAATGAGATGATAAATCAAATTTATTTTTTGATCTAAAAGTAGACATTACATATTTAGTGTACACAAGATATATCTGCATGTATATTCATTTGCATTATTTACAACATTCCTGTTAATATCTGAATTGTAGAGTATAACCTTCTTTTGGTCATTGTCATGCCCATTTCATAGCTTTTGTAGTTTGTATTAGCTCACATGTGAGCTTTTGCCATCTCTGTCTGTCTGTCCGTACATCTGTCTGTCCATCTGTCTGTCTGTCTTACAACAGAAGTGGCACATTTTAAAACATCTATCGATACACCATGTGACATGAGCCCTGTACCCATGGTACTATTTATTGCATTTCTATCACTGTTAACCAAGAAAAGTTTGTAGGTGTGGTATCTTTGCAAATATGTCAGCCCATGACACAACAGTTCAACTATTTCTGAAATGTTCTGAATTTTAGATATTTGATTTCTCACTTTATTTTGGAAACTTTCACTTCATTTGAGCAAATATTTTGAAAGTTGACAAAACTATGAAATTACACCGAGCAATTTTTTAGGTTTAGAGAATAAGCAACCAATGTCATTTTAACCATATACCATTCATATAACATTCAAAACATATTTTAAATTCTTATATTGTTTTAAAGTTATGAGTAAACATGCATATTTTATACTGCTGAAGATTTGTATTTAAGAAGCAATAAAGCAAAAATGAGTTTAATTATATCTGTTTGTTGTTATTTATTAATTTATAATAATGTTGAGACAGGATTAAGGTTCTCCATCAAGAATCCCAAGGACTCAAATTAAAATATTGCCTCTACTTTTGAGGTAAAGATGACATTTTTAACAAGATTTAAAGAAATAAGTTTGACTCTGACCTCATTCTCCACTGAAAATCTTGTTTTAAAAAAATCATGGTTTTAATATTTCTTTTTCACTTCTATGTACAATGTTATAACAATTTAAAAAAAATGAATCAGATATTTTGATAAATGTGTTAAGGTACAGACTTAAACCATGGTTTTTCTGAGAGTCATTTGATAATTTTATTACCCTGGGGGACTCAATTGTAGGAAAAAATATTAGGCCTATTTTGATGAGACATTTTGATTTATGGTGAGAAAATACTTATTGTTAAAGATATGACTGTCCAAAGCATTTGCCATACCATACAGTCCAACAGGCAAACAGTACCTGGTTCTTCGACCTTGACGAATTAAATTCTCAACAGTCTTTATCTATCGTCCCATATAGATAACAGCTCAGACCTCTAAAAATTTACTTATTTGAAGCAATAATCACACAATAAAGAGTTCTGTAATCTGTATGCAATATTTTGGGGGGTAAATGGTACGCTTGTAGTCACCGAGTGATATTCCCGGGGAATATTCATCATATATAACGAAGCACTGAACGAAAAAGTACTTCGTTAAAAATACGAGCGAATATATTTTAAACAACGATTTCACTTTAAACACTTCTTGCTAAATTATTAATATGTTTTCAAAGAACAGGCATCACATAGAATTACAAGGTTTATTTTCATAGCATTTAAATATTTCTGGCATGTTCCTGGGTATCTCTGCTCGGTCAAATGCTAGTGATTAGTTCAAATTATTTACGAACATTACAATTTATTTGAACGTTCGTATAATTAACGCCACATCAGAATTCAATTTATTTTCACAAATATGTAAGTTTATTTTGTTTTTACATGTAAATCTATGTCCTTTGTGAATACAAAGCAAAATTATATATTATTTAGAGCCTCACGCTTGATTTTCATTATTCTTGGGATATAGATAGACTCCTAAAATTCCATGGTTGATGTTCTTGTTCGTTTTTTGATCTGTTTTGGTTTTGTAATTTTTGTGTTTGAAAAACTGAAGTTTCTTCACTTCGGAATCAGATTGTAACCAGAATTTTGCTATTCTGGAATGGAATAATATAACATTTATTGGTCTTATAAAAATATCTACTGCTTATCTCGATCTAGAAGATTCAATATTACTCAAAGTCCCTTGACTTGTGTGTTTTTCAAGGTTTAGATACTTTTATTGACACAGTGCACTATTATTGGCTGTAGGCTACACCCTAACCTGTGCCCAAAACCATGCAGGTATAAATTGGAAGAGTCCACGGCCTAAAAGGTGCTAGACGCTTAGGATATAGTAGTTCAACAAGTTAAACCTAGAGTCCATTTCACTGGTTCATTTCGTCAGTAGAACGGCAAAAATAAGAAATTGGGAGACCATTGTGCAATAATATATGGAAAAGTATATTCATAATGTACATGAATGACATTTGTATATCTTTGATTGCTTCTAGTTTGGCTTATAAAATGTGTGGCCTTTTATATTTGGATGTTTCTCTGCCATGTTATTTTCAATAAGATTAACATGGCTGAAATTCTTTAAATTACAAGACGGCACAGGCTTATTGCACAAAAAACTAAAAAATCTGAAATATACAAATGTCATTCATGTACATTATGAATATACTTTTCCATATATTATTGTACAACGGTCTCCCAATTTCTTATTTTTGCCGTTCTACTGACGAAATGAAGCAGTGAAATGGACTCTAGTCTGGGCCTTATTTCTTATCTGACATTTCTTGTGGCCCGCCCTAGGTTTAACATCCGTGCCTATTCGGCCCTTGATGCAAAATATTTTAATGATGGCCTATGGCAGCGCATTGAATTTTATGCGCGTTTTATTAATAACTGATAGTGAGAATTTGCAACCAATGAAAGCATAGCATTTTGTCACGACCCTCGTGTGGTAGCGTGGTTTGAGGGTCGTAAACAGAATACAGTCTAAGAATCAATAGTTTGATTTGATGTTTTCATTAACTTAGTTTCGGGACAAGTTCAAGTTGAAATGTGTATCCCTATTTATTTGAACAACATCCGTGTTCACAGTATCATAACAAAATTGGATCAAATTGGGATAAATTTTGCGATGAAAATTTAGGGATAAATTAGGGATAAATTTAGGGATAAAAATTTAGGGATAAATTCTGGGATAAAAATAATTGGGATGAAGTGGGACAATTTCGGGATAACAATTACGGGATAACAAAATCTGAATATAGACTAAGTAAGATTTGTCAGTTTTCAATGTAAGTTGTTTGTCTCATAAAAGCGAATGGCAACAGACTCCAGATTCTGAATGTGCCCTGTGTTCAGTTGTATCAAATAAGTATAATGTTAGGGTGTGAGTATAACCAGGTAGAAGTCTTAGCCACTGGGGGCTACAATGGACTTCGAGCTGTATATAAAGCTCACTGTTCACACTTAAAATGGGAGATTTTGTAAGAATTAAAGTAGGGCTATTTCAAATCAAGAGTCTGTCAAACTCATCAGGGGATAATATTACTTGTACACCATTTAAACAAGCAAGTAAGAAAACATTGGAAGTAAATGATGTTTGAGGTAACGACTTGGAACCAGGGTGAATGAAATTCTCACTAATATAATCAATAAGACAAGGGTTAAATAAGAAAGTAAGATCCTGGATTGTACTTTATCTGTGCACTATTGCATAGTTTCTGGGGAAATAAATGTATGACTTATTGCGAGTGATTGTTATTCAAAGAAGCCCTTAGCAAATATGAGCTAAGATAAAGCTTGTTGCTTGAATGTTCGTATCACTAAAGTCACCTGGAATTAAGTCGGAATCTATTTTGAATCCAGAATCTACTTTAGATAAAATGAGGGGGAATTTTCCAACATATATATAAACAATTGAACACAAGAAGTGATATTCTGTGGATTTTTATATAATGTATAAAAACGACTATATTTCTATTTACTAATCTACACAAACATTACACAATTTAGTTACGTTCGAGATGCTATATCAAGTAAATAATCTCTCAAACCAAACATGCATAAAACAGCACAGCTAATGGAAGTTCAGTTAAACAATTTGCAATAAAGCCTAAAATGTGTCTTTTTCCAACAATGTAACTCAACAGTGCAATTTTATATAATCCCTGGTGGGGTTGAAATCAGCTCTCTATACTACTCACATGAAAAGTGGGAAATCATTTTGCCACTATCAGACTATGGTACAATTGACAAACAAATGGGAAACAGTATTTTAAAAGTATTCTAGTATCTATAATGAATTAGAATGTGGTTAACATAGAATTAGACCAGACATGGAAAACTAGAAAGGGAGGGGGTGTCTTAAGTCCGAAAATGGGCTTCGAATGACCGTGACCCTTATAAGTACTTCAATGATCAGTTGTTTGATAATGGTCCCATAAGCCCGGGATTTCACCTTTAAATTACCCAGAATTTAACATACGAATATACAAAGGAGTATTTCTAGTGTATCAATAAAATTTACCCTGTGAACAAACTACATACAGTCCCAAACGGGATGGGGGGGGGGTGTCATATAGAGGTGTCTATGAACCCCAGGAATTTGCAGTTGACTCTGGTTTAGAGCAAGTTACATAAGGTTCGTAAAGGCCGTAACTTTTCGTACACCTTGTCAAATATTCCTAAACGATTCCCTGTAGGAATGTTGTATAAGAGGTTAATTAAGGAACCCCGGGAACTTGCTTTCGACGCTGGTTAATAAGTTACATAAGTTCTTTAAGACAAAAACTCTGCGTGTAACTTTGCGTTAACCTTGTCAAATGTTCCTTAACAATCCCTGGGACAGTTAAAACATGGCATGTTCACAAGGCAAATAAATAAAATTAAGGAAAAAATCAAGTGCACAGATACTTCTTTTCAAAGACTAAAACTCTGCGAAAATACAATTAGATCAAGTCAATTACCTTTACCAACTCGTACACCTAAGTTGGTTTATCTGCGGCAATATAAATATCCAATTTTAGTGACGATTTAATGTTTAAAATTCCACAAAAAGTTTTCCATGTCTGGCCGGCTTGAATTCGAATCATAAAAGCACAGAAAAAGACAATTCACTTAAAACGTACTTATTTACTTAAATCAAGCTTAATAAGCCTCACTTTGGATTTTGTAGACAAACCCAGACAACTGCCCTTTCTAAAAAGTTTGTAACGTAGCATTAAACATGAAACTGGGCCTAAAACATTCACATTAAAGTCTTATTATGAACAAAATATATATGTTGACATTAATCCTGTAAATAATATTACATTAAAAACACAAGAGAAGGTTAGTAAAAATAAATATAAATATAGAGTAAAATTATTAAACTCTAACCATACTTTAAGAGTATAGCCAAAGTAGAAATACTGACTACCCTTTTACAGAATTTAAATTATTCTATAACTCTTTAAATATTGAGTAACTAAAAGCACAATTGATAAAGTGAAGAGCAAAATGTTGAACAAAGTGACAATCCTTCAAGGCAATTCCATTACCATGCTCAAAGTAATCTGAAGGATCGTCACACTGCTCCCTCTTTAAAAACAGTTCGTCCTCGAACTATGAAATTATAAAGATGAAAAATCATAAACAAACACATTACCTAAAATAAGAATTTCACACATCATTTACAACATAGTACTTAGTAAAGGAATTGATAAACATATATACACAATAAAGTTTTAATGTATAATCAGTTTACTACTTAATAAACGTAAGTCTAAATCAAATACAATGTTAGTTTACACTTTTCTCGATTTCTCACCTGAAATACATAACATAAAAAGGCTTGCATAATCTAATAAACAATCACGTTTAATTACAAAAAATGTCTCTTGCAGCATCAGTGTCTTTCATCTTTCTCTTGTAGGTCATGGTTCTTGTAAAAGGATGAAGTAATATCCATGCTGTATTAGTTTATCAAACGTTCTTACCATCACATTCATTGATGATACAGTCATTGTCACTGGTTCCCCACTATAATAAGGGAATGTGTTTAGTATTTGGCATGGTCTCTAGTACAATATAAAATTGAGATTGTCAGCCATTCTTTGTGTCCTTCCTCAAAATGCAGAGTCATCACAAAGCTGCAGAATCAATTCTTATAAGTATAGGGTACATGTCTCTGTTCATAAGCTTTAATTCTCAATGTCAATATTAAGAGTGGCTTCCAATATCGTTGCTTCATTGGGTACACCAAATAAGTCACTTTAATCGAACAGCAATCATGATAGTGTTCATCTGTTCAGATTACTTTTACATAGCATAGTGTACAATGTTCATTAGGTTGAAGGTCATCACTTGGTTCATGCTGGGCTGGAATAAAAGTGTTACAGTCCTGGAAATAAGACTGGTTAATCACATAGTACAATTATAAATTTTGAATATCACACATGTGATATGAATTGGCCAAAAAGTAAAGGGTTGTCAAATGAAATTGAATCAATCAAACGTATCTTCAAGATATATCCTTTCACAAACAGTTTCCAATCGGAAGGATTCAGATTATATCTCATAACATTTGTACTGAGAATGATTCAAATTCAGTGTCCAAGTCCCTTTGGTACAAAGGCAGTTAGGGAGGCGAGGTAGGATTCAAACTTGATGGGCACATCCATTGCAGTGGATGGGGTCACAAGCTGGGACAGTTGCTTGAAAGTGGAACTGGGGGTATGAGGGGAACCTACAGTCAGTAGTAGGGAAACACTTCGATGAAGCAAATGGACAGAGCTCTTGTCCATCGTGGCACTCACCCCCCAGGGGGTCACAAGTTGATCCACCTCATTTAAACAGAAGCAGGGACAAAACTATAATATTGC